ATCAATAAAATTGGAAATCTGTCGCATGAACAACTACAGAATATTCAACAAGGGGTTTTTTTTATGGAAAATGATCTCCTGATGAAGAGCTTGGGGGGTTGGAGCGCGGAGCGGTCAGAAGGCGTACCTTATCCAAGAGTTAATTAAATTTGGCACCATTTTAAAATCAATAAAGCTTAAAAGACAAGAGTTCACAGAATTTCCATCAGATACTCTTGAAAAATGAAAAGTATAGTTCTCCGGGCAATTTTTTTTAATGATTAAATCGACGCATTTTCCATCCTCATAAAATTGGATCTTTGCGTGATGAAGGTTTGGGCATTGAAAAGTTCATTTTTACGGACAATGTATCAAATTATTAAGCAACATTGGTTCAAAGGTTAACAGATATTCCACAGTTTAAAAAGACAACCATAGAAAAAACAATTTCCAAAAGAAACCGGTATACGATAAAAGTTCATTTCTGGACGATTGGCAATACAGCATAGGCAAAAAGTATTCAATTAGACAAATAGAATCTAATGTGTGCAATTCGTAACCAATTGAATTTTTGACCACCTTTGGAGGCCCCCCAGACTCAATAAGGTGCAACAGCGAGTTATATCAGTTTTCAAACAAAAACAATGCACTTTTCTTATGTACGTGCATTCGGAAAAATTTAGTTTTTTCCTCTAATAACCATCCGATTTTAAAAAACTGCAGCTCGTTAAAAAGCTGGTGAAATTCTACAGAAACCTTTTTCTTTGATTTGCTTTAAAGTAATTTCGTCACGAGATACAAAAGAAGGAAATCAACTTAACAGTGAATTTAGTGTCTTAAGCAATCATAAGTGCGCCCGGAAAAAGCTGGGTTTCTCTGCAACAAGGGACCCGATCTTTAAAAACTTTGGCTCATTAGAATGCTGAAATGTATTTGCAGAAAGTTATTTCCCCGATTTTCTACTATTTCATTACTTTATGAGTTATCGAAGGAAAACGATTCTCTTTTTTTATTGTACATACAAGGATTTCGAAAGAAGGGCGTATCTCTGTCTTACTTTGTCCAATGATTACAGAGGGCAAATTATTTATTTTCTTCAAACTTTTAACGGATTTTAAAGCTGTAGGATCTAGTTTAAGATAATTGCCTTTGGTTTAACCAACTGCCGCTTTTAATTTTTCGGGACACCATTTCAAATCTTCAAATGCGTTTTCCTAACGACGCTGAACCTTGTACATACGCCCTTCTTCCGACACAGTCCTCAATTGTTCAATTTAGAAACCAAGGATATCCTCGTACTCAGTTTTCCTGGCAGTATCATTTTAAAGAGAAATACACAAAATTTAAGACACCTGCAAATTCTCTATTGGCTTAAACATAAGTCCTCTCTTTTCAATGCCCCTGTTTCTGTTGCTTGTATGCAAAGCCTCAAATATAAGGAAATAACCTCCACTCATCTGTAGCAATATTTCTCTTTGATTTCTTGAACCATTCTATTTCCACTACCATGGACCATCAACGTATGGGCATCATAAAGCATTAAAAAAAAAAATTAATTCGTTACTTAATGCTTGGTTACGGACGCATTTTCATGAACTGGTTGTCTCAACTTTTCCGAATCCAGATCATATCTTATCAGTTGGTTTACTCACCTACTGCCGCTGTAAATATCTAGCTCTCGTGAAACACATCCATCCAAAGTAAAATGTCGCACTATCATTTGGAAGAATCTCATGCTTTTCCTGAAAACCTAGGGAAAATCTGTTTTTTCAGTAGTAGCCATAGTTGCTTGGTCATTGTTATCATTGGTCGGCCAATGCATTCATCACAAAATGTTTCACTTACAATCGGTATCACCCACAACAGCCTGACAGTGATCTCATTGACCGATTTACGCACATTCTCTGTGAAAGATACATCCATGCTGACAAACATGACTGTAGACCTGGAGCAGAATATTAGCAGGTTTTTATAAAAACATAATCAATAAATTCATGATTTTGCCCGACAATGATGTCATCGACCGATTTACGCACATTCGCTGTGAAAGATACATCCATGTCAAAAAAATTACTGTAGACCTGGAGCATATTTCTAGCAGGTTTTCATAAAAATCTAATCTAACTGTAGATAATCAATAGATTCATGATTTTGCTCAAGAAACTTATCATTTCGAGTGATTCTCTGCAGTTCTGCTCAGTATTAATTGTTCGCTATTTTTGCAAATCGTCCTGAATTGGATATGTGAATATGATTGCATGCTCAGTATTACTTTTGAATTTTAAGGATGAAAATCCTCTTGTTTTCTTTTTTACAAATAATGTTCCCCTCTTATGAATTTTGAACATGTCGACGGTGAAACTACCAAACCACATAATATCTTGTTTGCAATGTTTCAAAATCTCTGCCCTCATCCTATTTTCTTTGAAGAGAACAAATCAACATCATTCCTTGAAGTCATCACAGAAGTTTCTTTGTGCAGAGAGGAAAAATCACGAAATTTTTTAATAATTGACGTCAGATAGCCCATTTAAATAACATACTGTGACAGATAGTCTGCACTGTTGCAAACTGAGCCATGAGGTTTTGGGAGTTTTACTAACCACACCCAATGTGGATCTATTTTTGGTAATGGATAGATGATTTTCCTTTCTGTCTCATTATAATTCCTACCCCTTGTTTCATTTGCAAGTATAGCTTGACATTTTAGGAACTTTTAAAACGCCCCCTTTCTTTGAAGCTTTGACATTTTAGGAATTTTTATAGTGCCCCCTTTCCTTGAATCATTTATTTGATGCTCAGTTCATGGTAACGCAAAGTGCGAATCTGAACATTATTCAAGTATTGTGTATCTCAAATGGGCTTGATCCTAGTCTGACAAACAACTTGGTTCACTAGAATGATGTATACAGGGTTATCCAAAAGTCACCTACCACCCCTGTAACTTTTTTCCTAATTGAGATAGAAGTTTGAAACTATGGGAAAATTCCTCAGTCTAAAGTAGCAACTTTTTGGTCCCCCCAAAATTTTGGGGGGCGGCTCCCCCTAAGGGGTGCGGAGGCTAACTTTTTTTTTCAAATGGCAATTCCCCTTTTGTGATACCTCATTCGAAAGATTATAAAAAAAGAAAATTTTTGGCGCAAACCGCAGGTCAAAATATTGATTTTTGACAAAATGGCGGCCAGTCAAAGTTCAAAATGGCGGAAATTTGGCATCTCCGTTTTTTATCGGCGGATTGGTCTGAAACTCAGAATCCTAGGGTTTTTCGGGACGAGAAAAATGATTCTGGCATTAGTTTTCCGGAAATGTCAGTCCTTTTCAAAATGGCGGCTTTGAGCGGGAAGTAGATATTTAGGCTGCTTATCGTCGGATTTGTATTAGACTTGGTATCCGGGGGTATTTCGGCACGAGAAGAACGAATCTTTCATTGGATTTTTGAATTTTTTAATAATTTTAAAATGACAGAATAAATGCGAATGGCGATGGTGGATGCGAATTTTCCGTTATTCTTCCGCCACCATTTTGACGATATTCAGTGTTTCAAAAATCTAATGAAAGATTAATTTTTTTCGAGCCAAAAACCACCAGAGTATTGACTTTTGTGCAAATCCATCGGTAAACAGCCGTGATATGGATTTTCCGTCATTTTTTCGCCGCCATTTTAAACTTTTTAATAAAAATTCAAAAATCCAATGAAAGATTCGTTCTTCTCGTGCCGAAATACCCCCGGATACCAAGTCTCATACAAATCCGACGATAAGCAGCCTAAATATCCACTTCCCGTTCTAAGCTGCCATTTTAATCTGCCGCCATTTTGAAAAGGACTGACATTTCTGGAAAACTAATGCCAGAATCGTTTTTCTCGTCCCGAAAAACCCTAGGATTCTGAGTTTCAGACCAATCCGCTGATGAAAAACGGAGATGCCAAATTTCCGCCATTTTGAACTTTGACCGGCCGCCATTTTGTCAAAAATCAACATTTTGACCTGCGGTTTGCGCCAAAAATTTTCTTTTTTTATTATCTTTTGAATGAGGTATCACAAAAGGGGGGTTGCCATTTGAAAAAAAAAGTTAGCCCCTCAAAATTTTGGGGGGACCAAAAAGTTGCTACCTTAGACCGAGGAACATTCCCAAAGTTTCCAACTTCTATCTCAATTAGGAAAAAAGTTACAGGGGTGGTAGGTGACTTTTGGATAACCCTGTATGTACCAATAGATGTCACGATAAGTCTGCTCCTAATTTTATCGTTATTAGGTGTGAATGAAAGCTCATGTGAAACCAATATCTTATCGTATTTTTGTGTTCTTGCCCATGGGCTTCTAGGGAGCCCTCCCTTGCCTCCCTGAGACGCTAGCAGTGTTCAATTCACTGCATTGGAGTGTGTTTTATTTATGAAAAATTCGAATTTAAAGGAGAGCTTGTTCTTAAAAATCGATGTGTGTGTGTGCCAGGCTAACAATTGCGATACGTTTTTATCTGTTGCCCAAACGACTTAAGTGACACAGGTTGAAAATCAAGGTTTTTAATATAATTAACCATGTAATTGTGGACCTCGGAATCAAAAATTGTGGATGAAGTTTCTTACGAAGTGGTTTCCATCCCAAACCAGCGAGTTTGGGGAACTTTTGGGGGCCTCTTAGAAACCTGTTGGCAAATGTGCTGGAACAAAAGAATTTTATTTCAGCTTTGTATGTAAACGTAAGACAAGTTATTATACGTCACTTTTACATAGAAACCACTCAAACTCCTTGTCAGAGATAATGATAGTCTACAGAAATATCGGTAGCAGAAAACATTCCTGCCGTCACTGGCAGCAGCAAGTCAAGTAATACCTTTCTTGTCAGAGTAAACTGCCTTTTTTTTTAAGTTGACAGAAAGCGCTATCATCAAGAGAAAACATTGCTAAGTATCTCCATTTAACTGTCACATTATTGGCTAATATTTCATGTCTTTTTACGTACTTCATAACTAACTTATACTCTCTTATAGGTTTGCTTGTTTGCCTGGTTTTTTGCTTTCAGAAGGTGGAGAGGCGAGAGAAGTTTGAACAAATTGTCCGAGAAAGAGAAAGACAGAGGCTTGAAATTAACCAGAAGAAATGGTCGCGAAGGGAAGAAATTGATTTTTACCGTACCATTTCATCTTTCGGCGTCGAATTTGATAGGTAAGGGTTCAATCTGTTAATCTTTAACAACAAAGAAGATTCTTTAATCGAAAAAATGTTTGTAAGTCCACATTACAGCGTTTTAGACATAGGAAATAGATGTCTCGTACTGAAATTAGAAACTGTAGGTAAATCATACATTTTTTAGAAATTTGCAAAATATTAAAGAATTATTAGATTAGCTTAAAGGCTCAAAAAATCGTAATAAATAAAATTCTCTATGCTGTAATAGTTTCTTCCTAAGCCCATGGAAGTAGGTATGCAGCCAAACTGCAACATTTTTGTTCAGCCTATTGATCAGTGGCATTGAAAATAAGAATAATCTAATAAAACAATTTAATTAATCATATAATGTAACAAAATAAAACTAGCTTAATTTGCAAAGCTCAACTCAAAAAAACATCTAGTGCAGTTGTTTGTATCATCTGAGTAAAAAATAGGTTTATCCATGGGAATTGAAGCTTCTAATTCAAAGCTCATCCATGTATTCCCCCCCCCCCTTTCGCATTGCTGGAATTTTTGATCTTCTAATTTTGTTTTTTTCCTTTCTTCTCAGGACAAAGAACCAAATCGATTGGACCAAATTTCGAGCTTTATCTCGCTTAGACAAGAAATTTGATGAAACCATCACAGACTATTTCAGAGCTTTTTGTGCAATGTGTAAGCGAGTATGTGGTATTAAACCATCAGAAGAAGAAGGTAATTTATTTGTATGAACATGTGTAGTATAACTTTTCTTCCTACATTGATAAAAATAAACAAAAATCAAATTTATACCCTCATTACCTACATAATAATACTCTTAGACCAGCTAAAATTAAACTGATTTTGTTCAAGCACTTAATCATGGAATTTGTACATCTCTCCAACAAGCAGGGATGTTGGTGGCCCTGGAAACCAGGAAAGTCAGGGAATTGGTAGCGTCTAAGAAAAGCTAGGGAATTCATGGGAAAAGTCTTGGTATGGGGGTGTTGCACCCGGTAGGGATTTGGAGACTGTTGACGTGTTTATTTGTAATTTTTCATGAGAAAACTGTTGGTGTGCTTAAAAACGGTCTTAGTTCTGCCGTGGACCAGTCTTTCATACCGAGGATGGGTCTGTTGCACTCAGGAGGGATCTGGAGAGTAATGAGCAAATCATATGTAAATTTTCACAAGAAAACGATTGGTGTGGTTAAAAACATTCTTAGTTTGATATTCAAGCTGCCCATGCTAAATAAAGCTCAAAGTTCAAACAAAGGTCTCTCATTGGTATTATTGGTCGACCCTTGTTACAACTTGTACGATGTTTCCTGCCATTTTGATGCACCACCCCGTATGGAATCCAAAGTCATTTTTCTCACGATTATAAGTTAATTTGTGATTTATCTTTCCAAATTGTCTCACAGCTATCAGTTCATCATATCCTCTAATTTACAACACTATCAACGGATGTTGTAAAATCACTTCAACTTAATACATCTAAGGAAGTCCCGAAAGTGAGGTTATGTTCTCCTATAAGGGTTATTGCTGATCAATTCAGTGCTACATACCCATCTTTGTTCAAATAAATCGACGCATGTATTGGATATATTGTGTAGAACCAAGTTAGTATCCATTGTTTGTCTCTTAATGATGACTTATTGGTCCAGTATTTCAATACATAAAATGTATGAGTGAGGTATTCCTGATCAGTATCCTGCTTACTGCGACCGCTATCTATCATGGGAAGTTTTAGAAATATGATAGGAACCGACTAAACTATTTGCTCTCGTTATCATAACTGGATAGTTTTTGTACACACTCTTTGCATAAGTAGTTTTATGTAATTATCTAAATACCATTAATTCATTCCAACAGGCAATTGATTTAACGGAGGGGGTAACTCCTCAATGAGGCGGGTGATCAAGTACCAACAGCTTTTAGCTGGTGCATGGTTGGCAGAGAATGTTACTTAATGTTAAATTAATCAGCTTTTCAACTAATTTACTTACGAGCAGACAGATTTAAACAAGTAAACATTTTCTTATAGTGATCCCTCAGCCAGTCAGCTAGCCAAGCTGAGCTGGACATATTTTATGCAAAAAAGTACAATCTAAGGATCCAATACCCAATAAATTAGATGCAGAAAGCTATATCTTGCTATGGCAGACAGTTTCTGGTAATAAGAAAACTAAAACTATATCATATGAGAGTTTTACCATGAAAATAAGAGTCTTATGTATCTTAAATAAGAATGTGAACATAACCTCACACCTCAAACCTCCATCTTGTTACATAACCTCACATTCGTAACATGCTTTCATGTATCGGAAATAATTAAATCATCTGATGCAAATTGTAAATTTCTAGGGATGTTCTTATCAACTAGAGAGTATAAAGAGCTTATTATCGCAAGAAAATCTGATGAATACGGCCTCAAACAGCCTGAGAGTTCCATCTGAAAATTTGTCTCTACTCTTTATGGGGAAATTCTTGTATTCGTAAAATAAACGAACGTAGAGTACAAGTTGTGATGTCACACAACAGTTATACTCTCCTGCCATTCTTAGTTTTAAATTTTCCCGCCAAAAATTTTTGAGCTCTTATTAGCTTTTTTAGGGTGTTTGGGGGGGTCTACAAATCATGGGGAAAATGCATTGTGCTCAGAGCGATGTACACCTCTAGAAAATGGATCAAAAGAATTGGGTGCAACAGACCCATTTCTGACATTGATTTATCACTAAAACATCTTTGATCTTTCCACCATTTACGCTTCCTGGTTATTCTTAAGGCTTTTTCATAGTTTTACCAACTATTGAATGCCTCTTCCCATGATTTAATCTGTAAACTGGAAATATTGTTCAAAGTTCAGTGAAAGTCAGCATTTTTTTTTTTTATTTATTTATATGACTGTCAGGGAATTGGAAATTTTTGGAGTCAGGGGAAATTAAAAACAAGCAGTGAACTCCAACACAATGCGTTGATAAGGCGCGTCATTAACTCGCACATATCAACCCCTTTAGTTTTCATTTACAGAGGTTTCAAAATAGGCAAGTAGCACAACAAGAGAATTCATGCGATCCAACACTTCAAAGATGCATTTTGACGAGACCGTGTATTGTAAATGTAGAAAGCTATTCGAACGAATTTAAGTTTTTTGATCTGCCCTCAACAAAATCTTATCAGATTCTTGAAGAAAAGTGCTGCGGAATAATTTAAGCGAAGAAAGGAAAAATTCTGTCGAACTCCTAGAAGATAAAGTCGATTTAAAGGTATTTTGGGGCTAAAATACCCAAATCACCGGTAGTATAAATCCCGTTATATTATTGAAAAGAAATTGACTGGATATAAATGCAATTGCATTAAATATGTCTTGATTTTGTTATTCTAAACGTCTTTCCATGCAAAGAAGTTCAACCATGTCCATGCTTTATTCATTCATGAATTGAAAGTAAGAAATCTGCATCCCGAAAATCTACCGATTCGCCGTAAAATATCGCAGAAACTTGATATACCAGGTCGATGTACTCACTCGTTGAATTTACGAATCAATTTCGTGAGTGCACATATGTAAAAGTCAATATGCTATAGTCATTTTGGGTGCCTTTATTTTTCAAGAAACAATTACAAGTAATTTCAATCCCAAAGAACTATCAATTTTCCGTATAAAATCGAAAAAATCAAAATATGTCCACTCCGTGACGTGTAAATTAGATTCTACGTGTGAAAATGCTTATGCATCGATATGCTGAACAGAATCCATTTCTATCTCAAAATGTTTCTCAGAGGTTTGTGTTATTATCAGCTTCCCTTTAAACCCCGGTTTGATGGCCGAATCGGCTGCCCAAAAAGCAAGCCATTTTTGAAAGGTTCTATGAGAAATTCGTGATATTATCGGCTCTCAGGAAATCACCTCATGGCTAAAACTGGTGGTATAAATGTTTGAGTGCTTCAAATAATCGTATTTAAGAAACTAAGGCATTAAACTATGGAGTCAATTTCTTTTTAATAATATAACGGGATTTACTACTGGTGATTTAGCTAATATAGCCCCAGAATACTTTTGAAGCGCCTTTACGTTCTCGAATCTTGACGGATTTTTTTTTTTCCTCAAACGACTCAAGAGACACTGTAGTTAAAAATATAAAAAAAATTTCGATTTGGATATATAAAACATGTTTAACTCGTTGAGGCACACTGTGTAATATATGGAGTACTGTTGCTATTCAACCCTTGTCTTCAGGTCAAAATTCTTACAAGGAAGCCCCTTTCAAGAGGCGAATTTTTTGTAATTACTCCCAATTTTTTCTCCGCTATATTATGGAATTGCTTGTCAAATTCTGAGGTCAATTTTATCTAATTGTAATTTATACATATCTTCTTTTCCCCTTCATTTTATTTTTTGTTTAGAGAATTCGAGGTTTTGTTGATTTCTTTAGATTTCGAATACTGTAACTTCTCTTCTATTCGGCCGATTTTTATGAATGAGACCTCTTTTAATTCGTGTTTTAACGGAGAGTAAGAAAAAAATTGCTAAGTATACGCGAAACAATTTTTTTTTAAAATTGGACGAATCCTAGCGTGACGGTGAAATGGTTAATTTAGCGTGAGTAATTGGGCAAGGGGCTGAGGATCCCGGCCTCGCTTGGCGACCGTCATTAGGATTGTTCGTCTAGAACACGCCGACGCAGTGATCAGGAACGTGGGGAAGAGAGGGCTAAGTGGATTCCTGTATGAGGCACGTTTAGCAAATGGTCTAATGAGTCTCGAGGCTCATCACAGATTGCACTTATGACTGCATTGGCTATCAGAGCAGTGGTACCAAATCTTGAAAAGCATAACAGGGGTGTGGAGATCTGTCAAAGTAACGTTATGAACGAAACGGAGGAGTAAAATTCTCATTCGAAGAGTGCTGGCCTGGTCAGCCATCCTCGAATCAGTTCGCTTGCTTCTGATTATACATGCATATTTTAAATCAGCGCGGCGCATTCTTAGGCTTTCTTTAAAAAAACCAAGTAACGAAGACTCCTGGTATTCACTGCACATTAACTAGAAAGCCCCAGAATGAGAAACAACTTTAAATCAGAATTATTGACGGATCAATAAACTTTTTACATACTTTGGAAAATCTCAGAAGTTCGCGGTAGTCACTTTTCGGTAAGGAACTAAGGGACTCGGTTATTGTATCGAGTGGGGGGTCGAAACGATCGCAAAGGCGGTATACTACGTATAATTCTGGGAATTCAAAGATGAAGACATCAAGGCAACCCTGAAAGTTTGAATAGTAAGCAATGCGTGGCCTGAAGAAGAAACAATGATTTTTGAAGAAACGAAATGCACAATGAATGCAAATTCCACTGCTTCAAGTGTAGCTGTCTTACTAGGGTGGCCTATTAAAAATGAATTCGGACCTTTTTCTCTCGGCAGAACCTCCTAAACTGGTGCAAGTACATTAGAACAATTTGTCACCATTTGACTTGTGGAAATAACAATTTTTTTAATTTTTTCCTGACAAAATTCGTCCCCTGCAAAAAGAAAATCTAATTGTCGCTAAAAATGAAAAAAGGTATACTTGTGCAATTATTACACCTTGGGGAATATATTAGGCACCCCTGACATTGCAGTGCTTACGGTGTCAAGGGATAAAGAAAAACACAAGATGTGCCTCTCGTCTGTTCCGCTGTACAGGCGTAAGTAATTATGTTCTTCATACATGGTCAATGAATTATACTTCAGACTTACTCATTTATACGAAGAATTTCTTTATTGTGTTGCAGAAAGCTCTGATATGCCTGTTGAACCTTTGCCGGAAGATAAAGCAAGACGAGCACTTGAAAGACTGAAATTATTGAGTAAAATTAGAGAAGTCATCTTGCCTCATCCATTACTAGATGAGCGACTAAAATTATGCCAGCCATCAGCTGACATTCCGGATTGGTGGGTCCCTGGAAAACATGATAAAGACTTGCTGATTGGAGTTGCAAAGTAAGCATCAGTTCTTAGATAAAATATACAAGGTTATATAGAGTGGTTCGCAGTGGTCAATAAAAACTCTGTACCATAGTGGAAGTAAGGGTATTTTGGAGGACTGTTTCCAGGCTGATCCTGGGATCCCAGTACTTCAAATTTTTTGTTCATTGAAGGTCTACACTGTAAGTGATGTATGATGTTTTGGCAATTTGCGGACGGTTTCCAGATTCTTAAGTGGTCTAAGAATGGGCCTGAAAGCTTATTCTGGTAATAAGTGCAGATTTCTTACATTCAACAATCTATCTCATGCTTACCGTGTCAGAATGGCCATAAATATTCTTTTAGCAAGTACATATGGGATGTTAGAGAGTTACTTTAGCCAGTGATAGTTTAAATCAAACCTTGCTCTCGTAGTCTAATGTTTCAGTTTCTTGCAATGCAAATAATAGTCAGATTCTTTGACCTCTTGAGTACGATTTTTACACCGTGCTCCCTCAGACTATTTTAGGAATGGTTAATTATGCAAAAATCTTTATGTCAATATTTCACCTCTGTTCTCTTTATATTAGTCATTGATTCCAAAACTGTTCTTCATCAAGATTGTTCAACCAAGCCCTTTAAAGTTTCATTTTTAATAGTCATATTACCGGCAGCAAATCAGTTTATATAGAGCCTCTCACTGCAACATTGCTGTGTATTATCAGTGAATATTGATTTGAATTTCCCTGGATATGAGTAATTTTTTTTAAATCCCCTGTATTGAGACAACATGGCAATATTTAGTGATACAAGGGGATCAACTGTGCTAATTTGTATTGTTTTTAGTTGTTGCGCTGATAGACAACACATTTTCTTCAAAATTTTGGTGCACCGACTGCAGGTGTATAATTGTACATGCATCTATCAGCCTGTTTTTTTTTTCTTTTAAGTAATATGCTACTGAAATGTGTAAATAGAACATTGATGTATGAATTATATCAATTGATCTTTGACATACTGATAGATTCAATAAGTTAGGGATTTAGAAATTTTTCTTTCTTCCACATGAAAGGTATTCTTTTCTCGACTTATTTGACGGATACGCAGTCTTTGTTCCCTTTATCAGAGCTGTGGCGCATAATTTGAATTCCAACAACTTCGCCGTCTCGTCCATAAACAAATATCACCATCTGCTATTGACAAAAATGAACAATCACTCATCTCATCACTGAAAACAAATACATTTTCATTCCTAACAAATTTCCTTGCACTGAATTTGCTCATATTGAACAACTGCAGATGATCATATTTGTTATCGGCCAAGATTGCAAAGTTGTTGAAATTCAAATCTTGCACCGTTGCTCTTGTGGCAGGAACAAAAAGCGCTTTTCAGACGAAGAATCTGCAAATGCATATTTACGTTTCACCTACCTTCAGCCTTATCTTTTACAGTAAATTTTAAGTGTCATTGCGTAGAAAGTTCAAATTAAAATCACAACTATTTATTCAGAGCCATTGATCGTCAATCTTGGTTCAAAAAAGTTGTTTCTGATCACACCCTGACTGACAGGGTGTATATTAGTCCGGAATTTCTGGGAAGTCCGGAAAGAGTACTAATTTTTTAAGGGCGGTCCAGAAGTACTGACATAGTGCAAAAATGTATAGATTTGTTTCCTTCAAGCCATGCATGTTTTTTATTAAAGCCTAAAAAGTATGCAAACCCCTACGCCTTGATTCTTAGAGTAGTATTTACCTGCAAGATCGCGATTATGCAGTCAGTTAATCTTCAAACAACCCATGAAATTTTGTGTCCGCACCATTTTTGCCGCAATTCGAGCAAGAATTTAAAATTTTCGAAAGTTTACGAATTTGGTTAATGAAGGCACTGAAAAAGAACTGATTTTCTATTTTAGTAGAGTCCCTTGATTGATTTTTCTCCCAGTAAAATACCCAGCAGGAAAAAAGGCCTCTGTGTATGCTCCTTCTAATTTCTCACAGAAATCAGTTGCATTCAAATTCAGAAACAATGTAGTTCAGAACAAGACCTCTATAATTTTGAATGATATGCTGGGAAAATTATTTTTATAAAATGCTGCTATCTTGAGGCAGGTCTTTTGGAATTCCAACGCTGATGCATGTTCGAGTGCCTTCAATTACAGTCTCTGTTTAGATTTGCATCTGTATATGCAAATATCTCTGAAAATATCTAGAGGAATTTTTTTTTTTTTTATTTTTTCCTAAGAGTTTATTGTTACCTTCCCAGGAGGAAATATAAACAATTATCTTAATGTGTGTACATGAGGGTATATAAAAGTAATAACTGGATAATTTCTTATTTCTACAATGATTAGAGAAAAATGGATTGTCAATTAGTACACTGAATAGGCAATGAATATTGGCATATATTATTCTCTTGCACCCTTGATTACTGCAATCTAAATCTAACAATTGTTCATTCAATAATATCTGAAAAATCCCATGAATCCGTGGAAGTATAAATTCTCTTCATTTTTTACCAATAACATTTAGCAACGTTAGAGTGACAGCCTATTCACAGAAGGGAATTGATGAAATTGTTAGTTATCGGACAGCACTTAATGAAAAACCAAAGGTCTTGAACTTTGCAAAAGGAGCTTGATGAAGAAAAGTCCCGGAATATCGAGAAACTCAAATAATTTCTCTGAATTTAAGCAGAACAGTATGGCGCCACTGGTATTTTTAGCAAGCCTTAAATAAAAAAGAGAAATGAGAATGAAATTTTTACTGCAAGAGCACTAACCCTGTTGAAAAAATTAATCTCCGACAAGGGTGAGTGACTTCTTTCAAGCCATTTTAAAGAATGGCGAAGAACTTAATGACTTGAAGAAATTGATTTTTAACTAACAGGGCAAGGTTTGATCTTTACCATCATTGGTCAAATCTTGCATAAACATGCTTGAAAGAGTTTTGTCTCTCCAACAGGGTTAACCTGAAATGGCGCGATATATATTGGAATTTTCGAATTTTCTCCCAAAATCGGCCTTCAGACTTCTCAAGGCCATTACTCGGCTAGAGAAGCATCCATGTTAAATTATGACACATTCTATACAGATCTTTAATAATATGCAAACAAATGGTGAAGTCTAATAAATCTGGGGTGGGACAGGTACAGCCCGTAAAAGCACCCCTCACTTGACCTTAATGAGAAACATCAGTGATATTTTTAAAGAAATCATCCAAGAAGCAATTAATTATATATAATTAAAAATCCGAAGTATCTATGCACATTATGACTTAGACCCTGAGACCTACAATGATAGGAGTATGACATGTAGGGTGTCCTACTTTGAAGGTCACTCCCGAATTTTGATAACTCTACCCCCTAAATCGTTGACCAAGCTTACAAAAATTAGTATTCAGTGTATAAAAAAATTCAAAATTTTTTTTTTAAGTGTTGCGTAAGGCCAAAAACCACCCCTCGGCCCTGGGCAAAATCCTGCTTTTTTCCCATTTTGACGATTTTTTTTTTTTTTGCAATGGTAAAACAGCTAGAGCTCCAAAAATTCAAGAATAAAAACATGTATTTGGGTACTTTGAAAGATAATTGTTCATGTCATTGTGCATCCCCATTTTTATCTACCAACCCTCGAAATTGGCTACAAGCGCGCAAATTCTACGATTTCGTATTTTTGTTTTTCAGCTGCCAAAGTTAAATTAAACATGAAACGTATCATTAATTGTAACTTGACACTTATTTGATCCAGAATTCATTTTTCACTTTATTCCCCCTTCCCTTCTTTTATTTTTAACCGTAACTTCAGCATTGCCAAAGTCACTAACTATGCAAAGGAATTTTTCTTTTTTCCAAAGATTATATTTTTATTTATATTCTTACATTTTGAATGTCCACGTAATGTTTCAACAAGGTGGAGAAATGGTGCTGGGTCCACACCATTTTGCGGGGGAAACAAAGTGAAGAAATTCTATTAAAAATTTCAATTTGAGTCTAAAAATGTCTTGCTCTATCGAGTACTAGTACAAGACTGAAGACTGTTCTTGTTCGTAATGTTTCATTAAAATGGTACTTGCCCATATAAAAAGGGAAAGCAAGTTGTGGTTTTTTTTTTTTTTTTAAATTAAAAAAAAATTCAATTTTGACAAAAAAAAGTAATTTCACTAAAATAATTAGGAATGAAGTTAAGAACCAAACAATTAGAAACAGCATTATTCCTTTCTTCTAGAACACTTCAACAGAAACTTTGTTGGAAAGAAAGAAAAAGTGATGGAATGTACATAGGCTGTCCCAAAAGTACCTGGACTGGTTCTGTAACTTCAAAACTACGATAGATATAGACATGAGTTTGCTTTCATTTTAAAGATTAACTCAATACCTATCGATTAAGACCAAGATCAGCGCAATCGGATAAAAATTGACCGAGTTGTGGCAATTTGAAATCGGTGAGTAAAGTTTACCCCTACGGTTTTTAAGGAAGATTTTTCACTTACCAGGATCCAAAAAGTTAATCTTCGTTTCTTCGTTTCTGCCCTCCTACGAATCTTCCATAACTTCCCTTTGCTTTTCAAAGTACCGTCCATTAAACCTCATGCGCTCTTGCCACTTTTCTAACATTGTTTTCCTGAATTCTTCCCCTGGGATGGAGTTGAAAAAGTTCTGAACTGCATTCTGGATTTCGGTCCTCGATTCGAATCTTTGCCCGCGAAGCTCCTTCTGAAGCACAGGAAACATCCAAAAATCACAAGGAGCCAAGTCAGGGCAATAAGGAGGTTGAAGGATTTTCTCAACTTCATTTTTATTCATAAATTCACGTGTAAAGTTCGAGCTGTGAGGCCGCACAATGTCTTGATGGAGCATCCAAGAAGCTTTTAAGTGCGGCTTTCCACCCGTTAGGGGTGGCCCGGTCGGTCGGGGATTTTTGCCCTTTGGACTCTTGACCCAAAGGCGGACGACAACAACTGGCGACAACCGACCACCACAGGGCAATGTTGCCAGGTTGTTGTAGCATTACATCAAAGTTTTTGGGTGAAAACATAATACCAGATCATACTTTTAGGTATCAATATCGTGGATGAAGAATCTTCCTGAAAAACCGTATGGGTAAACTTTACTCACTGATTTCAAATTGCCATAACTCGGTCAATTTTTATCTGATTGCGCTGGTCATGGTCTTAATCGATAGGTATTGAGTTGATCTTTAAAATGAAACCAAGCTCATGTCTATATCTATCGTAGTTTTGAAGTTACAGAACCAGTCCGGGTACTTTTGGGACAGCCTATGTACTTCAGAGAAACAAGGCTAGTTTCCCAAAAGTAAGTGGCAAGGTGCCTGAACAGTTGAGAAATTGCATTATTCCTTTCTCTTCAAATACCTAGTTATGCAAGGTGGAAGTTTCAAAAAAGAAGTGTCAATAACTAGGCATGTGATGAAACTACTAGATTTCTTTTGTTATGAAATCAGCCATATTATAGGATGAAAATTTATGTAATTCAGTGTCATTTTTTACTGCAGACGAAGAAGGTTAGTTTTCCTAAAGTAAGCGGAAAGGCACCCAAACAATTGAGGAAATGCATTATTCCTTTTTGTTTCAATACTTGGCAACTGACGCTTTAGTGACAAAAACTGGAAAGTTCATGATAAAAGAGTATCAGAGATTCCACTAACCACATTTTCAAGACATTTGAATTTTAGCGACATGTTGGTGCCTTTGTTTGTTTTTGATTAATTCATTGCTAATAGCATGAAAAGAAATGTAGTTAAAGCTTCAGGAACTAAAGGGAGCAATGATATTTATCTCAACAGGTTAGTATAAAATGACCCTGAATTACATACATTATATAGATATTATATGGCTGATTTCATAACCAAAAAAAAACCAAGTGAATGTCTCTCTCTGTGGAAAATTGTTTATGGTCTGTAGGATCACTAATAACAAATACTGTAGACTCACAACTTTTAAACATAATGTGATGGTTAGGATATTGCACAACGAAAATGTTGATTAATTGAAAGCACCAAAAATAAGACCAGAAAATTGCCATTTAAGGCTCTGCTTGTAACCAAACCAGTAAACACAAATTTGACCAATTTTCTGTTGTAATTGTATCACATAGCCATTTAATTGGAAATGAAATACGAAGAACCACTCATACATTAAATTTTTGGTCTAAAAACCAGTTTCTGCTGTGTCGTGTCTGAAAAAGCATTGTTTCAAAGGTGAGTAAATTGTTTAAAGTGATAAAAGAGGTGTTGAATAATCAAGTGTGAAATGATCAAGATTCCATTGTATGTAAGGTAACAGCACCAGTACCCGGAATGGTACCAGTATCCGGAACGTCGCTCAGTTTTTCGTAAAAAATAAGCTGTAGGTACATCAGTGCAAAAAGAGCATCAGGTTTTCACAAATTACACTCAGAGAACGAACCGCTCTGTGAATACGTCACTGTAGAAGCATGGTACAGATTATAAAAGGAGCGCACGACCATCACACTTATTGCAAGGTGGCGCCCTCTGAGTGTAATTTGTGAAACCCTGATGCCCTTTTTGCACTGATGTACCTACCGCTTATTTTTTACGAAAAACTGAGCGACGTTCCGGATACTGGTACCATTCCGGGTACTGGTGCAGTTACCTTAAATTTCCTGATTTATACAATTTATTGGTTTAAGAGTGTCTTGTAATATCACCATTTTCCCCTCTTTTCAGACATGGTTTGGGCCGATCTGACTACACTATTTTAAATGATCCTGAACTATCTTTCCATGAGATTGTCAAGAAGAACCTATTAGCAGCTGTATCTAACACATTGAAAACGGAGGTCAAAACAGAGAAACCGGAGGAGAATATCCGTTTTGACCGTAATCAAATTCTATTCAAATTAGAAAAAGGGGAAGGAACTCTGCAAGTTGAAAAAATATCTAATAGCAAGAAAAAAGAGAATCCAGATGGTGGCTCCGCTGAAGTATCAGTCCCTGTCAAAGAAGAATTGTATCTGAAGAAAGAATCTGAGCTCATAGTTGAGAAAGCAAGCGAAGACAATCCTGACAAGATGGAGGTGGATGAAAATCATGGCACAAATGAAGAAAAAGAAGAGACTTCAACTGAAAACCTGGAAATTCCTCTAAAAGGAGAAGAGAAGCAGGTACAAGATGAACCATTGAGAGCAGAGCAACCAGACGAAAAATTAAAAGAAGAAATGGAAGGCGAGAGGTGTAAAGAGGAGGAAGAAGGAAAAGCAGATGTCATTAATCCTGCAAATAGTGATGTCAGAAACGAAACTGAAAGTAATGAAAAAGAAAGTGGAAAGACTTATAGTAAGGAAGTTGAAAGCAACAATTCAAACGATGATGCAATCAATAAAATTGACACAGAGTTAGAAATCGAAGTTCTTGAAGAACAAACTAGTCATACAGATAAAACCTGTGAGGATAATCTGGACAACGCTCAATCAGGTAAAAAAACAGATGAAGAGGTTGGCAATCCAGCTGAAAATCTAGAGAATGATGAAAATGGAAAGGGAAATTTGCGCGAGGACGAACGTTTAAAAGCAAATCCAAAGGATGATGAAATTCTAAATGATAAAGCAAGGGAGTCTCAGCCTGAAAATCTGGAAATGAAGACAGTATTATCATCAAAGGGAGATAAATTGACTGAAAATGGTGACAAAGCTGGTGCCCATGCTGAAACTATCATCAAGGGAGATACTCAGCCTGCCAAAGTTGGTGTCCAACCATCTTTTGCCGATTCGTTTAACCTTAAAGTTGGCAAAACTGATAGTGTAGATAAATTAAAAGCAATGTTTCCTGAATTGGAAGTAATGAATCGATTGCCGGAAATTGATGCTATTGTTGTGAATGAAAACAAACCAAATCTTAATGCTACTAGTCCTTTCAACAAAGGCAATCCTAGTTTGATTGATTCATCCATAGCGAATATTTTTACACAGAGTTATCAGAATCCCATCAAATGGCCAAAGGTAAGTTCATGTTTTTACCTCTAGGCTCTTCTCTTGGTATTTTATGAATTCCTTCTTGTAAGAAAAGAAATTTACTAGATGCCTAGAGAAGTTAAGTTATTGTCTTGCTCTCCCAACTTCAACCATGTTCAAAAGTACATTATTTAAAGCATGCCGCTTAGAAAGGGTTGCTCAAATGCTTCAAAGATGCTTCTTTACTAGTGAAACATAAGATTTTACCTTAGCGACCTCATTTTATGTGATAAGAATGAACTCCTGCAGTCCGGCCTGTTTTTTTTTAAACCAAGGTAATTTTCCCGGAAGAAAAAGATGGCGTCTACAAGTAGCCTCTGGATCAATGCAGGGGGGGGGGGGGTTTCCAACTTAAAGCTTATCCTGTAGGGATGAGGGAAGAAAGGGATGGAAATAACAACATATAGCTAGGAGATCAGAGGAGCTTGTATGTAGGCAAAGAGAACAGGACAAGTGAGTAGCCTAGCCCAGGAAATAGATATGCCACATATGCAACCATAATCGTTCAGGGTGCCAACCCCGGGCGACCCTCATCCTGGCTCCTAACATGGATGGGGCAAAAACTCATCCTGAAGTGTTGTGAATGTACTTACCGTCTAATTCGATTTTTTGCCCCTCATACCTTTGCTGTTGTTGATTTACATATTCCAACAAGTTCACATTTGCAATTGCGAGGTTCTATTTACCCACCGAGTTAGTGTTTGATTTTTCAGTCATTGCAGAAGTGGCCAGAAGTTGGTGGCAAGTGATCAGCAATGTCTTTTGGAATTGGCCAAAAAGGTCTAGAATTTAGGATTGCCTCAATTTTCTGAATAAGTGTTAAGTTCTTCGAAATGAAGTACGAGGTCTGTTAGATTAGAAACTGGATTTTGGTCATAACTAGCTTATCGTGCGTCCGCATTAGGTTTTCTTGGACTTTTCTGATAGCTGATAACATACTAAAGAACGCTATGTTCAGAGATTTTGTTTATTTTGATCAGTGTTCATTCTGTGTAATCTTGAATAAGAGGAAGCCCGGTGCGTTCTGCGATATTCATCATGCGATCTCTGATAGAGCAAAGATTTAACATTAAATTTTGTTTTAAGCTCGGTATACCTTGTACTGAAACTTTTGGTATGCTAAGTAAAGTATACCAAGATCATTGAATGAGTTGTTCTCACTATTTTGAATGGGTTAAACGATTCAAAATTGATCAGGAGTTCGTTGAAGATGAGGAGCATGGGAATCGACCATCAACGGCAACTAACATTTGTCACGTGGAAGAAGTGCGGCCAAAAGTCTCGAAAATGGTCGTTTTGAGCTTGCTAAACATTTTAATATATTTCTGAAGACTCTGTACATACAATTTTGATAGAATATGTAGACATGCATCGAGTTTCAGGTACACTTGTCCCTTGATTGTTGTCCGTTGAACAAAAATCCAACACAATGTTAATTTCCCTATAGCTGCTTGAACGTTCTAACAATGATCCTACATTTTTGGATAGGATAATTTTCGGTGATAATACTTGAGTGTACGGCTACGATATGAAAACGAAACTCCTATCATACCTGTGGGTTGAAAAATTTAGTGCAAGACAGATAAAAGAGAGACAAGTTCGGTCAAATATGAAAATCGCAAAACACCCATGAGGTTTTCTTGGAGGTACTTGAAGCCACATACCAACGAAGCTAATTAGGATTTTTCAAATCTGTGAACGTAGCGTTCTTAAGTATATTTCCAGCTATCAGGAAAGATCAAGAAAACCTAATTCGGACGCACAGTAGGCTAGTTATGACCAAAATCTGGTTTCTAATCTAACAGACCTCGTATACCCGTTGTTAGAGTCTTTGAAAATTATGTTTTAAGCTTCAGACACATCTCTCTTATAACCCACCAAAATTATGAGGTTAACTATGGATGCACTCCATTCAATCCGTTTTTCTTGGAAGTAATTTAAAATTTCAGATAAAAGGTTATTCTCAAAAATTAGGGGACTGTTCAGAGTATATTTTTAGAGGTAATATGTGTCTAAACACGAATCTTTGCACGTTACATGTAGCAACTTGTTGAAGCTTGAATATCTCAACAATTAACTGCACTCCATCAAACGGTTTATCTGACAGCACATTTCTGTTACATCAGCTGTGTCTGCAAACGCGAACCAGTGAAACCTTATCAGTAAATATTAAATGTCTCCTTTGATTCCGAACGGCTGAGTGCTGACCCATATGATTCACCTGAAGTTGTTGGAAAATCTGTCAGAGATGAACTAAAAAATACTTCAGTCTAGAGTTGGGCCGAAATGGATTTTCCGCGTCACCGGATCCGGATACGGATATCAATTTTTTGTATCCGGCAGCTAATTTGCTAAGGTATCCGGTTGAAACCAGATAATACCGGATCCGGATAGTGCTTTTTTGCGTGCGAAAAATCTCCCGATTTCGAGCGAGAAGAATCTTCCCTAGAGCTAAAAAGCTAAAAAATAGAAGCTACGCATATTGACAAAAGTATCAATACTACATCTTTTCAAGAAAATTTGTGTAAAAATTCCAAAAAATTTACTTCTCCATCGTATTTTCCTGGAAATAGAAAATGAGAAAGTTAAATTTTTAAAGATTATTGTGCCGAACAGTTGTAAAAAGCATGGTTAGTCCACCATCACTTGTTTCATCTAGGCAACTTAACTGTGCAGCAATAAGGGTTTTATTGAACAGATTATTTTCATTTACCATTGCTTTGCACCCTCAATGAAAAACTGCCCTTTTCACAGGATCATGCACTTCAAGTGAGACTTCAACACATTGCACACTGTGTAGAACATGGGGAATGGCCAGTCGGTAGAAACTTCTCTGCCTACTCAGTGCCAGAAGAAGTTAATCCGGAAATCATACCAAAGAGAGAGCCCTCAACTCCACGCTCCGTGTCTGAGAGCTCTGAAGTTATCACAATTACAACTGATCATGGGCTCAATAAATTCACAGCTCATCAACCAATGAAAAGGAAAAGACATATTGCTATCGATGTGGAAACGGAGAGAGGTGCGCATTAAAATTTTATTTTTCAAATTTTCAATGGAGCAATGCGATGACTTCAGATTGGCAAATTTGTCAAGGAATTGTTTTGCTGTGTAACCTTCAAATTTTTTGCTCCTCCCAAAAAATTTCATTTCTTTCAATTTCAAGAGACTTGGTGCTTAGAATGCTTAGAAAAATATTTATAAGGTATCATGCCTTTCCTCACGCCCCCCCCCCCAAAAAAAACCCTTGAAAAGTAAATAAATAAATTCAGGGAGTATCATGCCCCAAATCCCTGGAAAGTCAAGGAATTATCAAATTCAAGAAAACTTGTAATGAATACGAGGGGCGTTCAATAAGTAAGTATCCCCCCTCTCTAAAATCAATAGGAATGAACCAATTTTTAAAAACTTGAGCTCAAAATCTTCCTCAGGATATACTGAGTTCAACCAAACAAACCGCAACAAAATCGGACCATGAGCGGCCGAACGCGAGCCGTTTGAACGCGCCGAGGTGCACGCCGCTCCCGCCGAATCCGCGGAGATTTGAGGTCCACGACAAGAGAAGAGCTTCTCCGCCAACATTTCAGTCGTTCATCACTGACAAAAAATCAAAGAAGTTTTTGTAAAATAGCGGGCTTACCTCACCTCTCCACATAACCAGCTCGATCCAAGCAGGTCTGATACTGATTGTGAGACTAAGAGAACAGCTTTTGGATACCACGCGTGCAGAAGTCTTTCAACTGGCTGGGGATGAAAGTGTTGACGGCTTGTTTGACCTCTTCCACTGATTCAAAATGAACTCCCCAGAGTTCAGATTCCAGAAAAGGGAATAAATGGTGGTCTGTATTGCCATTTATTACCGTATCTAAAATCTGAACTCTGGGGAGTTCATTTTGAATCAGTGGAAGAGGTCAAACAAGCCGTCAACACTTTCATCCCCAGCCAGTTGAAAGACTTCTGCACGCGTGGTATCCAAAAGCTGTTCTCTTAGTCTCACAATCAGTATCAGACCTGCTTGGATCGAGCTGGTTATGTGGAGAGGTGAGGTAAGCCCCCTATTTTACAAAAACTTCTTTGATTTTTTGTCAGTGATGAACGACTGAAGTGTTGGCGGAGAAGCTCTTCTCTTGTCGCGGACTTCAAATCTCCGCGGATTCGGCGGGAGCGGCGTGCACCTCGGCGCGTTCAAACGGCTCGCGTTCGGCCGCACATGGTCCGATTTTGTTGCGGTTTGTTTGGTTGAACTCAGTATATCCTGAGGAAGATTTTGAGCCCAAGTTTTTAAAAATTGGTTCATTCCTATTGATTTTAGAGAGGGGGGATACTTACTTATTGAACGCCCCTCGTACATGCAATTATTTTAAGAAAGATCCTGAAACTTACAGGTGTGCTGAATATAGCAACCAAAACCTTCTAATCTTCCAGTTTTTAAAGAGTAAAGAAACCAGATGTTAAAAGAGTTGTAAGTGTGAGTATATGGTAATTCAACTAATAACACAACCAGAACTCATACCTAAATAACTAGAGGATGGGTTTACTGATGTTTCTCCTTTACCAAAATAAAATAAATAAACAAATAAAAACACTATCATATTTATTTAAACTTAAAACTTTTCGACCAATTTGAGCCAAAAATCTGAAATATTTTATTGGCTGGAGTCCAATATTTTATAGAAAATCTGTGCTATTTCCTTTCAGGATTGAATACTGGGAATTGTTTGAATTTAGAACAGTGAATTAGATGAACTTGATTTAAAACTATCAGTCACTCAAGGCCACCAATGAGTCGGTTAGGCGTATAAGGTATTGGCTTGCTAAGAATTGTTTTCCATAGTTCCTGGCCCTGGCAGGAGAAAAACCAATGTATATGTTAAAACATTTGAAAGTATAATTCCTGCAGAGAAATAACGCTTGTTGTTGTGAGAGTGCTCAAAACGCTCTTGCATGTAACTGCTCACACAGGGTCACGATTGTCAAGATTTATTTTTGATAATGCCATTGCACATATAAATAATGGTAGTCTAACCAAGGCCTTAGTTGAGATAGGAATGATGTAGCTGATAAGTAGAGAACCTAAGAGTAATTCACATAATTCCAAACATTGAATGGAATTAAGTTTGAAGTTTCCAGAAATGAAATTAAGTTAATAAGGTATGTTTTCCACTTATAAACCACCACATTCCTATCTCACCCAAGGCTTTAGTCAAACTACTAAACAAGGGGTCATGAATGAATCAAATCACTTCACATGAGGAAGATGGGAGTGGTGATGCTGAACTCAAGACTGTATCACCTAACCTTAAGTCTCAATCTGATCGTTAATGTACCTCTGTGTTGCCACTCATTCAACCTTTTCAGATGTGGCCAAAATCTTCCTTACGTTAAGGAATTGGCCAGATTTGCGAGTGCATGACTATCTCCAGAATGTCTGAGGGTCATATAATCATACAAACATACTTTCATAACTATGCATATAATACTTAGTTCTTCTTATTTCTGCAGCTAAACTTCATGCGCTTCTCAATAGTAACCTGCAAGCATCACATTTATTGAAGCACTCCTCACCGAACGTTTTTGAAACAGAGGAAACATCAGAACCTGATTCTCGGCGCTCAACTCCAATTACCACATCATTGCAGCCACCGCCTGCTCATCAACATTCATCACCAGCTCCACGTGTGCTATCTATGCCTTTTGATTTAAAGTATCACACTGTAACGCAGACTCCTTCGCTCAAACCAGCAGTTGCCTCACCAGCACCTATGGATCTCTCATCTAGGTAATTGTTTTGAATTTAGTATGCTGTATTGAAGAAATTGAATGAATGGTTATTACTCTCTCCATATCAAGACCATATGGCTGACGCTAGTGTTTTCTATCCTACTGCACTTGACCAGTCATCGGTAGCATCTAAGAATAAGAGGCCGGTGCTGTGAGGTTGAATTCCTTCTATTGGTCAGCGATTGAATCTGTCGTTAAATGCTCGCATGCATGCTGTAGTCATTGATCTTGATTCTAACGCAGAGATAGTTATGAGAGAGTAAGAAGTGCACAAGAATAGACATAATTTCAGACAAAATAGCATTGAGTCCCCATTATTCTGTAAAGGAACTGTACTGCTGTCTCGAGTTGAGTGAAATGGTACCCTTCTTTGGCAATTTGTAGCCTCAAATTTTGTTCGTTGTTTTCCCAAAACGTAACCCTGTAAGCATCTAGTCCATCATAAGTACTGTTGTCATGACTAACGTGAAATGAAAAAGGCCCTCTTTAACCTCCCAAGTCCCCTCGCCATATATTTTAGTAGTGTTTAAGACCCAGTGGCAAAAGGACTTGCCATTTCAAGTGCTAATTTGAGTTGCCAAAGCGCTACACTGACACCATTGAATAATTCATAAGCGTGCTCTAATGCTCTATTATATGCTGGATGAAGGAGATTAATTTTGTACCGATTTTTGTTTATGTGGAAAGTAAAACGGCGAAAAGTCCAAATTGGCTCAACACTGAAGCACTATATAAATTGTGTTTCTGGGTTCTAGGAGGTTATATTTGCAGGTAGAATTTATTGATTTTTATTCATCTGGCTAGTGCCTGAGGAGAGCTTTGAATGGTTATTATTAACAACTCAACGAAAAATGAAGAATTTGTTCAATGAAATTCTCTGCTGGGTCATTCCATTGTTACAGGTGTGACAACAATTTAACTTTAAACAAGAATTTGGATACTTTCTTGGAGTTAAATTAAGAAATTATCTGCAGTAGCAGAAAGAACTTTTTATGTAGATCATTACAGTCTATCTGAATTTTTTTTTAATTTGTTCCATTCCTCAGAAAAAACTAAAAGGCTGCGTTACGGGTGTGACCGATTTTGGAAGTGGTGGAGTGTAAAGTGGAAACTCAGCGAATTTTATGAATGTAAAAATCTGATTAAATTATACAATGAAGCCAAGGGTTTTTGCTTCAACTGCTGATGATCTGTTTTCAATTATCTTTTTTTCTCTCCTTGAAAAATGGGAAAGTATATAAAAACCCCTGTTTAGCGTTGCACATGTGACTGTCAGTATACTAAATTTTAAAAGTCACATATGATAAACAGTAATTACTTTTAAAAGTTAAAACTTTGCAGGAGCACATGTTATCTATTTCTTGACGAATGTAAACATAAACCCAAACTTGGTTTTGGTGATAACATCAGAAAACAGTGCTGTCACTCTTTTTACAGTAGGATAAGGCTAAGCGACAGGGTTACAAAACACAAATTGCAAGAAAAAAAACAAAATGTAGGTAAACCCCATATATTTCCGAAAACTAGAAGTATTAAGGAGTCCAAAAATTAATATTGTTGGGTCATTTGCATGGGAAAAAAAATACCCCCTGGACTACCTAGGTGTGGAATGACCCTGCTCGGGCGCTACTGTGTGCATTTTCTCAAAACTCATTTTTCTACTTACTGCGTTCCTGAGTAGCACAGCATTAAATGAAGCTTTTTACCAATGAAAGAATTTAGGTTAAAGGTGTAAAGAGGCTGAATTTAGGGTAGTTCTGTACAAGTATGTTTGTAATATGGAAGAATTAAATGGAAATAGCTCCAATAGTGGTCTTGTACAGTCACAATGTTTTTCCTGCCACATTTTTGCAGATGAGAGAGCACAGGCTGCAGCAGATTATCTGGATTGATGTGGTAGTCGGGTGTTACAGTTCATCAAAAGTTAGGATAATCCAGAATACACAGGAATGTTTAGGAAAGCATTTGAAGAGAGTCATTAAGGAGTGTAGTCAGGGTGATTTTCCAAAATACTGCAGGGTTATAATTAGTTTGTATGATATGGGGTTCAAATTATAAGCCGTTGGATACTGTATAGCCAAATAAGCATAGGTCTAAGCAGGATTTGCAGCAAGCAACAGCATATTTAAATACATTAGAAACACCTGAGTGGCTTTTGAATGGGTCAGTTGTGCTAGTCACAGAATCTTATTTTGATGCCTGATTCATGGAGATTAGCCCAAAGTATGAAGATCTGTCTAAACACCCAGACATAGCCCTTTGAAAAGTCGGGTTTTTGACGTCATCCACCGTGGTAGTGACATTCTTGGTTTCCTCCACATTGCTTTCATCCGAGTTTCACGTTGAGTCACCAGTGCAAATATGCGTTACACTGACTGATGAGAAAGTAAGGTAGAAGAAACCAAAGGTGTCACTACTGCGGTGGATGACGTTAAAAACCCAACTTTTTAAAGGGTGATATCTCAGTTAATATTGAACAAGGAAATTTACTGTTCGGGAAGATCTCAATATTTTTTGCTAATCTACAAGAAATAAGCATCAAAACGCGATTCTGTGACCAACGCAACTGACTCATTTAATGAAGCCCTGGGTGGCTTTTGTAGGTCCTCTCTGATTCCACCCACTTGCTAAGACTTTCCTGTTGCTTCTGTATGCCCTTGTCTAATGTATCGTACAAGTTCTACAATAGTGTATTTGTATTTTTTTTTTAAAAAAAAAAATTTAACACTTTCCAAATTCCAAAAAATTCCTTTTATTTTAGGTATAAGTTTGATTTTTGAGTCTCGTTGCATTGCTGTTAATGGATTTTTCTGTCTCTTGTTTTCAGTTTGCCAAAAATGAAAACTCCTGACCTATCAGCTGGTATTGATCTGAGTGTGGGACTAAAAGATTCCCCAATGGACGATATTCAGGACTTTTCAATGCCGAGTAAGAAGCACCTCTCACAACTTCAATCAGCACATCAACATTCACTGGCCCAACAGGCAGGCGCGCATCACTCTTTGACAAATCAGTCTCAGCCTTTATCCGCACACCAGCAGCCAGCGCATCAGCAGCCAGCTCATCAGCACCAAGTGCACCACCCAACACATCATCAGCAGCCTGCGCACCAACAAATGCCCCAACACATGCCACCAACTAAAAGCAAGCTTGATGACATGCTGAGTAAACTCAAGCAGAGGAAGAATTGCGTAAGTATCTTCTTTTAACGTTAAGTTTATTTTGATATTTTTTTTTTCTTCTTTTTTTTACTACTTCAAATACCACACAAGTGGTACTCCTGGCTCCTCCAGTTAGAGCCCCTCCCCCCTCCGTCCCTACCATGTACCAGCTCAAGGCAACTGTTGTTTGAGACCATCAAACTCGGGTCGCCTAGCCGGGAATGGAACCCGGAACCTCCTGATTGTAGAGCCAGCGCTACAACCACTAGACCACAGGAGGCCGACAATGGAGGATATTGGGTACATCCAGTTCAAAATTTTGCATGTGGTATGTTGAGAATCTCCTAGATAATTATTTATAAACAAATTGATATTGTAGAACAGCTGAAATATGCACAAGTCAGTTGTGCCTTCCACTGTAGAATTCAATTTTCATACCTCGTTCAATAACTGTAAAAGTAGCTTGAATTGTAATATAGGAGGAGTTTCGTTTTGGGCCTTTTCCGGCTCCACCTGGATTTTGCTGAATGTTTCATATTTCCAAAGTACTAGTCTTAGGTAGACTGTATGCCAAATATTTTACCGAACGGAGCCCATGCAGAGGTGCAGCAACGCCTCAAACCCAGAGCCCTGGCATTGGAAAAATGGTTGTTTTCGACGACTTTTTCGACTGATATTACTCTTTTAGCAGATAATTCTTATGTAATTTTTTGCATACTTTCCGTTTCTGGCCTTCAAAAAGGCCTCCGATAGATTTTAAGGGGCCTTACGGTCCATTGTTGCCATTTTTGACCCATTTTCAGGGTTTTTTTTCCATTCTACACACGCAGAACTCAATTTGAACTAAAAACTGCATACGTTTTTGAAAAGAAAGCAAAAAAATAAAGAAACTGCGTTTAATGAAACTTTTCTCTAGGTAGCCAAATTTTCGAAAAAAATCGTTCCAAAGAGCCAAAAATGGCCAAAATTCCATAAATTGCCATGCCTAAGGTTCAAGAAAGTGGGGTACAACTCTTATATTGATGTAGGTAACGTAACAGCTCTTACCCATGTATACAACATATCAAAAAATTATAGTTGTACCTGGATTCCCACAATGTGCGATTTGACCGGGATGTCAATTTTAGTGGTCTTTTTTTTACTTGAAGGTAGCCCTTTTGAATGTTTTTGGATGGTAGTCACCCTCCATAGGTGAGTAACATATGTATTTCTCTACGTGCTTTTCATATCTGGCCATAAAAATGGCTTCCTGTGAATTCTAAAAGGCCTAACTTTCCATTGTTGCCAATTTTTACCAATATTTAGGGGTTTTTTCAAGTTAATTTGTGTGAAACTTAATTTAATCTAAAAACCGTTTACATTTTTCGGAAAAAACGTAAGAAAATACATGCATAATGTGCTTTGTAACTTTTCCCTACGTCGCCAAAGAGGCTGTCTCATTTTCCATAGGAAATGGCCGCAAGAGATTTGCCATCCATACTTTCAGGAATCATAACGGATCATCCGATAGGCCTAAATCCGGTGACCTTTTCCGTCGAGCCCTCCTAGGGGGAGGGGGTCAAAGGTCAAATGCACAGACAGCCATAACTTTTGAACGAAGCAACGGATCGAATTGATCTTGGGCTCAAATGAAATTAGATTAAAGTCTGTTTTTGGTAATTTTTTAATGTGAAAAAATCATTGTTTGATTTATCAAGCCCAAAAACTCAGTTTTTCGGGGTTTTATTCTGGAAGGGAATGCATGAATTGTTACAAAAACCAATTTAAATGAAAGCCCTTGATTCAAGCTTCAAAATAAGCTATCGTTGAATCTGGGAAAATGAATGGTTCAAAAGTTATGACCGTTCAAAGTTGGTGTGGCGCGCTATTTTCGAAGCGTGTGGAGTGTATACTTGCGTGCCACCCCTCCCTACCTTTTCCCCTGGTGCCCACTTCAGCTGATAACGGATACAGAAAGGTCTGAAGCTCCTTCCACCCATAGAATGACCAATCATTGGTGCAAAATTACTTTAATTTCTAACGAAAAAAGGAAATAAAAATATATTAAATGCTAATAATGATGAGACGCTGGCACGCATTATTTTTTCGCCCCTCCCCCCTCCATGATTTAATATTTAATAGCCAAATTAAGCCTCTTTTACTGGAAAATACACTCAAAAGCTGTTAATAATATTCATAGGCTCTAGTACGCAACGTTAGTACGCAAGTCTACGTTAGCCGACCAGCACTTGAAACTCGCATTTACTACTGAATATCTCTCCTGTTTTCACTCAATTTTTCATTGGTGAATAATCAAATGTGGATGATTATGTACTGGGGAGCGGGAGCACCCTTCGCGCGGAGAGAGGTGGCTAAGAACCTACGCCCTTTTTCCTTTGAAGCAGATCTTCAAAAGTTTACAAAAAAGAAAGACGTCTGAAGAGCAATTTTGGTCGAATCACTCAGTAGTAAGGTACCTCATCTTCAAAGAAAAATATTACATCAAAATCTTAATTTCTGAAAATTTGGCGGCTACACCTTTCTTCAAATAACCTGTTTATTCGCAAAATAATATATCCATAAAGACAGTAACTATCGAATAGAAGGGTAATTAGGATCTTAATACTGATATAAATAAGGATAACAATGAGGATTCTTTTTTTTGCAGCCGGTTGAAGAACCAATCATGGGTAAAGAGAAAAAGAGGAAGAAATTGGATGAAATTGTTCTAGGGCTCTCAGCTTCTAAGCAACAGGAAACTTCAAGCATTGAGACTCCAAACAGCATATTTCCGTCGACAGATAGCAGGAAGCCTCCACAGATCTCTCCAAGTGTTACTGTGACCCCGACTTCCACAAAGCCTCTCTCAGGATTGGGCTCTCGTTCGACGTCCAAGTCTAATCTGGAATCTCTTTCATCGTTTATTACACATGCGGAACATCAAAATCTGATCATGAAGCATCAGCAGCAAATGCAGCAGCTTCTTCAGCAACAACAGCAGCAGCAAGCAACAAAACTATCACAATCCTCCTCCTCTGTAGCTCAAGTCCAGAGAAAAACATATGAGGCCATGATTGCCGAGATTAACAAAGACTATGCAGCTAAGCATACACAGTTATCACATGAATCCAAGGTAATCGGAAGATCATATCTTCTCTAAGGATAATTTTCTAGTGGGTAGATTGACAATAGCTCAAATGTTGATCTGAGACCAAATCAAAAATCCTACTAAGGTCCTAACGCTGTATTGATAATTAAAAGAAATCTGTGACAGTTTGAAAAAGGTCTAAACCGCTGATACAGAGGGCCGTTCTTGCAATAAACACCTGACTTGCAAATTACTACCCGTCAATCGTCAAAGATCTGGTGTCAATATACTGTGTGGAAATTTCATCTGTGTTGATGCAAAGATATTTTCCATTTGTGTCTCATTATTAGAATGGAATATTGAATTCTTTTCAGATCACAAATACTTATTGGCTTAGAACAATGCAGACTAAAATAGACCAAATGTCAGATGTTTTTTTATCATTATATTATCATGTTATTTTATTGTGAACCTCTCACAAGAGAATTTCACACATTGTTATTAAGTATTAAATAATGGTGACTATACAGTCTACTGAGAAACTCGTAACTTACTTACATGCAGGAAAAATGTTTTAATATACAATGGACTACTAGACAAGGTACAGCACTCACATGTTTCTTACTCAAAATTTCCCGAAGAACATGATTCTTGCATTGAGAATTACTGAAATCAAACCCTTAACTTATTTTACATTGGTTACAGGAATTTTGAATTGCCCGGTCACAAGAAGCGCAATTCTCTACGTTAGTCAGATCAGGCCTCATAACAGTTTGGGCAGGCCTATCAGTCGAGCAATGTTCCTATGCAATGTTTATCGTTCAAAGTGTAAAAAATTTGCTGTAGCTGAGCCAAAGCATCAAGGTTGAGGTTGCCAGATTTGCATATCGCAGAGATTGTCATAGTAAAGTTTAGTGTGAGATTTGACTCTCGTAGACTATTGTGTTTTCATGAGCGGAAGGTTTGGATTCTTGCGCCAAGAAACATGAAGTATCTCAGTTAGGAGTAACTTCAGTTATTTTCGTTGCACAAATCGTGTTCTACACGAAATTTTGATCAGGAGACATGTATCAGAATGCCCAACTTCGTACCTTGTCTAGGAGTTCATTGAATTATATATCTATTGGTCCAGACCTGAAGGAAGAAATCAACCTATGAAGAAACACCTCGCCCCCTCAAGCAAATGCAGTCGAGGCATTTAATTGCTTTCTGAAGAGCCAATTCATATTAATTCGTGGACATTGACTGATGCTCTGGGGTCTTGTTCCACCGTTGCACTCCATTTTTTTTGTAATTTTTTTTTTTTTTTTTGAGGGGGTGATGATTTTAAAAATTAGTTTCTTTATCATAGCTTCTCAGTATTTTGGTAAGTCTGTCACAATCAATATGAAGCTCATTTTTCTCTCTTGTTTGATTATGATTTAGGTCAACAAGTGGTTAGCTGAGCAGCAGTCAGGCATGATTCCCTCAGATCAAGCTGATTTCATGTCTGTTCCGAGACGGAGGCGACCTCGAGTTGATCCAACTTTATTAGATTGGAAAAATTTGACTGGTGAAGAAAATGTGTCTGTCATCAACAGGCTTACAGGGAAGAAGGTGATTAGCTGGCTTTTGTTGCTTTTTTCTTTTGTGTACTCTCGGAAGAAAATCTGTAAGAAACCATTTTGATTCTCCCTGCGGGCTGATTATTGAAATAGATAGACAAAGAAGACAAAAGGGTTACGGAGGGATCCTACTGGTAGAATACGTGTGGTTGCAATGGAAAAATGGAGTAGGTACTGGAATAACAGCAACCCATGAGAGATCTGCTAGTTAGTCCATTATTTTCTCCTTTAGTTACCCTTAAGTACCACCCACCTCAACCAACAGGATCGATGCGTACTCCCTATGTCCTCTTTGTCTACTGCTTTGTCTATCAATTTCAATAATCAGCCTGCTGGGATGTATCCTCTTCATTTTTAAAGCTTCAAAGGTATTGAGGGATAATGACCAAGCCATTTCGAAGTAGCGTAATTCGATAGTTTCAGGCAGGAGATGCGTGGCCCACGGAGGGCTGGATTGCTCAGTGCTGCCATGTAACGCAAAAACGCCATTTTAAATTTTTTAGAAACAATGTATCATAGCAGGAAAACATGTGTACCTTGGCACAATGTTTTTATGAAATGCTTTTGCAAATACTATCAAGACCTCAACCTGAAAATTTGAGGTGTATGGGTAGAACAGTTTTTTTTTTTTTATTTTATAAAGTGTTTAGTTCCAAAAAACGAGGGAAAATCTTGATGGATTTATGGCATTATTGGTTAGCACGGCAGGGCCGGATTTAGCTTTTTGCCGCCCCTGGGGCTGCAATATTTCGCCACTATATTGTCAACAGTGTCCCCTCCCCCTCTCCGCACTCCCAACTTCCCACGCCATCTCATCTTGCCCCCCCCCCCCTCGTGCGCCGCCTGGGCGCGTGCGCGTAGCTGTTTCAAAATGCGCCGCGAATTTATAAAATGGAATGGATGGATGAGACAAAAATAAAATGTGGAGACAAAGTTGAAGCTAGAGTAGCTCAATGTATCAGTTGCAATGTATATTTGGAAGATCAGGTCTAAAAGTTTTTCTCCGGGTTTTCAGTTTAGCAAAGCTGTCAACCAGAGCATCAACATCTTAATTGATTATCAAGTCTGCCTCGATGTTTAAAATTGCCGTGTTGTTTAGTATCACTCCAACGAACGATCATCCTAGCGCTCAAGGCCGGACCTAAGGGGCGGCAGCTTTGCCGCTCCCGTCAAGCGTCAACTCCCTTCCTTCATACATTTTGCCGCTCATCTTTTCACTTCGCTCCGTCTCCGTCTCCATTTTTTCCTTTTTTCTCGATTTAACTTTCAAGTAATCCAGTGCCAAAATTTGCCGCCCCTCAAAATTTGCCGCTATGGGCAAGTGCCCCAGTGCCCTATAGGTAAATCAGGCCCTGTAGCACGGCAGAAAGGGTAACGGGCCGAAAAGTTTTGGACTAATTGTTTGTAATGCAATGAGTCAAGTGGCAAAAACACTTTGGAAGAGTATCTTGTTGCATAGTGGGCTACGGACAGGAAACTTATGAATAGATTTTTGTCACACGCAGGGTCATGTAAAGAAAGTTATGAACTTTCTATTTTTCAATTCTGATTTAATTTGAAAATTGTTTCTTGCAATTATGCTAAACTAAAAGTATTACTGAGCTGATGCTTTCCTTTTGGAAAATACACTACCCCCACCGTAGATGTGGGGGTCATTCAAAAATGACCAGAACACTGTACCAAAACCTGCATTAGAAACTCAAAGAAACTAAGTCCCCTCAGTAAATGGTACAGGACGCCATTTTTTTCCTATTCTTTCTCTCTCCTTTAGCTCTTCACTGTATCTTACTAATGTGTGCAATCTCATTTTGACTGCGTTAAGCAGAAAGAAACCGAGCCACATCAGCTATCGCCAAAGGACCCTGCACACTCCTTATAAGGAAATGTACCACGATCGATTTTTAATTTTTAATTGTTTTAAATTCGTCTATGAATGCTGATCAAAAGTCATTATTGTGCCAACTTTACATGAGGCCCCGTTTTTGCACAATCCGCCAAAAATTTGCGATAAATCCTTGTATAAATGAAGGTAGTGCAGTACTCGAGTACAGTGGTTCAGGTTGGTCCGGTGAGGGTAAATCGCATAAAGAGGAAAACCAATCAGCGGCCGAGCGGCAGTCTTATCTCGGATTTCACATGCCCTTTCTTTTCACTGTCCAACCACTGGGGGGTCTGGGGGATACCCCTAGAGCAAAGGGAGTCTCCCCCAGAAAATTTTCATAAAAATAGCCCCTCCCAAATTGAATTTTAAACAGTTTCAGCATAGAATCTGTGCATTATTTGAAAGTTGAAAATTTATGAATAGGTACTACCTGTTTTAGAGAAATTTTATTCTGGCATATGGCCCATGCATCTATTTCTGCAGTGTAGAGTAACCTTTGATTTAGTTAACTTGGTTAAATAGTTCTGAAGTTCTGTCTCGACACTATTTCAGAAAATTTTTAGGAGCACTTCCTTTCTCTCTCTCTTTTCCCCTGTCCTTCTTTTATCTTTCCCCCTTTTTTTGGCCTGAGAGGGGGGGGTTTCCCACCATGCCCTCCTTTCCCGCCCGCATCCGCCGCTGGATTGGCATGCTCATTAATTTTGTCTGAAATGGTTTCTGTGATTTGGTAGTATGCATGTGATCACTATTTAAGGACAAAAAAGAACTCTGAGCATTGATTTTGGGTACCAGAACAAAAAAAATAATCAGTACTTTAAAGACGATCATGGCAGTAGAATATAAAATAAAATTAATGTCAAATTCCCTCTTTTCGTAAAAGCTCCTATTCCTTTGAGACGTGTCTTTAGACTTTAGATGAAATAAAAAAAGGGGGAAGGGAAATTATGTATGGCATATACATCCAAATATGTATGCTTACTAACTGGTCAAAAAATGCTGTAAAATGTTGAAAAAGTACGTAGATCAGCGTGAAAGAGGGTGCTCCCGAGCGCAGCTGCGGAACTCTGCCCCAAGGCCCATATGAGGACTTATATGTAACAATAGTGGATGTCGAGTTTTCACATCGTGAGAAAATCGCATTTGAAGTTTTTGAAGCTCTGCACTTTTCCGCCCGTAGAACCGGGAGGATTCTTATAAAGGTTTTCATGAAGAGCAACAAAGAGCACAAAACAAAGTCTTCAGGAAGGATCAGGTTGGTGAAACGATTGAAATGAACCAAAAGTAAGTCAATGCTGAGTCATTTAACAAAATTGAATAAGGGACTAAACCGTTTGTAACTTTTACAACAAAAACAAGGAAAAATTCTAAAATCAGTTAAAAATTCATGAATTCTGGCAAGACAGTCCCGATACATATAATCTTAGTGTCAGCTACAGCCCATGACAGGTGGTCGGGCAGTTATCGCAAGTGGGTTCGAATCTCCACAGTGTCCTGCCGCGCAGACCGGGGAAAACAGTGGATTCTCACATCCGCTGTTTTTACAAATAACATGGTTTTTAGTTCATTTCTTGCCGAAAAATTGCGCTGAAAGTCTGAAACTTTGCACAGGCATTTTTGTAGGCTCTAGATTTCGAAAAAAGTAGGGCTGTGCGAGCCTGGTTTTTTGGATTCGAGCCGAGTTCGAGTATTTTTTCACTAAGTCGAGCCGAGTTCGAGCTTTTTCGAGCTTTGAAAATGACCCTCAAGCCGAGTCGAGCTCGAGTCGAGTTCGAGTAATTTCGAGTTTTAAAACATGATTTAATCTGCGGCGTACATCAAAGGAACTTCGGGCGGCACAAGTGAAGGCTTTAGAGCCCATTTATGCACGCAATTCGTGTCGCCGTGTCGCCGGCGGCAGTTGTCGCCGCGACGTTTTTTGGAATCGCGCGATCCATATTTTTGTAGCCGCAGCACCTTTTTTCTGCCGCCGCGACACCGTTTATCTGGAGCGCAAAAGGTCCAAAACACGTGCTCACTTTCAGTCTTCCAAGCGGCGGTCGCCGCCACAGGTTGAAATTGGTCGCGCGCATAAATGCGCTCATATGACTCCGTGTATTTACAAACCGCGGGCGGCAGGAAATCGCCGGGCGGTAGCGTGTTGGCGCTGCGGATGATAGAAATTTGCCGATGAGACTCTGATGTTATTCAATCGTAAAATGATGGCAAAACTAACGTTAGTTGAAGTATGATTGAAATATTTGGAAGTTGGACTCATTCGGCGTTTCTGGCTCAAAAAAACTCGAAATATACTCGAAAAAACTCGTGTTGTTGACACTCGAGCCGAGTTCGAGTACTCGCTCGAACCTAACCTAACTTTCGAGCCGAGTCGAGTACTCGATACTCGGCTCGACTCGACTCGAAATTCGAGTACTCGCACAGCCCTAGAAAAAAGCGTTTGCTCTAAAAATGGCGGATGTCAGCGACCTCTATTGTTACATATATGTCCTCATATACGGACCCTGTCTCGTCAACTTTGGAAAAGCATAACTCCGAAACTAATCATTTCCCCAACATGTTCTTTAGCTCATTTTAAAGAGAAGAACAAGGGCTATTTTTTACACACATATTCATAACATTTGTCGTTCATAACATTGGTTGAGAAATTGAAAAATCCAAAATCAAAGTTTTTAAAAACTTTAATGAGCCATAACTTTACCGAAAATTAACAGATTGTCAATTTCTTGTACTTGATAGAAAGGTCTTTATATGCTCTTTCATTAAAGAAAAAAAAATTTCAACTAGATATCTGCAACCGGTCAAAAGTTATGCCTGAAAGTTGATTATTCTTAGACCCCCCTCCCGGGGGGAGAGAGGGGCTGGATCAAAAACTCCACCATTTTTGAACTTTTGTAACCTTCCTTCACAGATAACTTTTCTTTACATATGACAAGACTCCGTTTTGGGCCCAATTCTTATAGGAGATGTATATACTTCCTAGTTTCTTTCTCTCTCCTTTTCCATTGTCCTTACCAGCCAGACACACACTGCGTTTTGATTTTAGCCAGCCTGTCTTGGAAATTACCCAAGCTGCAATTACGGATTGTGCAAAGCGTCATGATGACTTTGATCAGCATTCATAGACAAATTTTAAACAATAAAAAAATTAAAAATCGATTGCAGTACACATCCCCATAAGGACTGTGAGGGGTTCTTCAATTGTGCAATTTAATTTATTGCATGAAAACTGTTGTGCGGATTTTTGTGCAAATTTCAGTGAAATTTCTGCTTAATACAAAGCAAATTCCTTAAAATTTTTAAAGGCATCTCCCCAAACGTTCTCTCCGAAAAAATTTAATTGCCCAGTCAAGTTTGGCAATAGCTGATGTAACTTGGTTCCTCTCTGCTAAATGCAGTCCATTTCATCTGTACAACAGTTAAATGCATTAAAGCTGATTATATATGAGAGTGATTGATATTGTTTGCAAACCATCTACTGAATACGAGGTCTGTTAGATTAGAAACCAGATTTTGGTCATAACTAGCCCACAATGCGTCCGAATTAGGTTTTCTTGAGATTTTATGATAGCTGGAAATATACTTAAGAACGCTACGTTCACAGATTTTGTTTATTTTGATCAATGTTTATTCTGTGTCATCTTGAATACGAGTAAGTCAGGTGCGTTTTGCGATTTTCAGCATGCGATCACTGATAGAGCAAAGACTCAACATTTAATTTTGTTTTAAACTCGGTATACCTTGTACCGAAACTTTTGGTATGCTAAGTAAAGTTTACCAAGATCATTGTATGAGATGTTCCCACTGTTTTGAGTGGGTTAAACGATTCAAAACTGGTCAGGAGTTCGTCGAAAATGAGGAGTATGGGAATCTACCCTCAACGGCAACTGACATTTGTCACGTGGAAGAAGTGCGGGTGAAAGTGCTCGAAAATGGTCGTTTCGAGCTTGTTGAACAGAGTAATATTTCTGAAGGTTATGTACATACAATTTTTATAGAATATGTAGACACGCATCGAGTTTCAGGTGCACTTGCCCCTTGATTGTTGTCCGTTGAACGAAAATCCAACCAAATGTCAATTTCCCTTTAGCTGCTTGAACGTTCTAACAATGATCCTACATTTTTGGATAGGATAATTTTCGGTGACAATACTTTAGTGTACGGCTACGATATGGAGTCGAAACTCCAATCGTCCTTGTGGGTTGAAAAATGTAGTGCAAGACCGAAAAAAGAGAGACAAGTTCGGTCAAACATAAAAATCGCAAAACACCCTTGAGGTTGCCTTACTTCAAGCCACATACCAACAAAGTTAATTATGATTTTTCAAATTTGTGAACGTAGCGTTCTTAAATATATTTTCAGCTATCAGAAAAGCTCAAGAAAACGTAATTTGGACGCATTGTGGGCTAGTTATGACCAAAATCCGGTTTCTAATCTAACAGACCTCGTATCAGGCTCATCATGCCCGGTTTTCTTACTATCCATCTCACTACCCTTTTTTTTGGAAATGTCCAAAAATTGAGCTTTGGGACAAAAACTTTTGGTACATCAACCCCTAAGAACTTAATGAAGGTATCCTCAGCTTCCCCAATACCCCATTTGGGGGTGGGGGGGGGGGTTAAAGGAGACTACCCTAGGGTGCATCAAAAGAAATGAAAGTTTGTACCCTCCTCAGATGGCAATTGATACCACCATGGTTAAAATTATATGAATAGTACAAATAGAGGGAGAAATTCAGGCCAGAGCGATTGTGTACACCAGACAATCAATAAATTTTTCGACAGCAGTGTTACACGGTTCATCCATGGGATTATAAAAATAACATTAAGTGAGAAAAAATGTGGAAATATCCTACGCAACTTCTTAACTCTTACTCACTTGCAATTCCTATACTAAGTAAAACAAGTTGAATTTTGAATTAGACTAAGTATTTTGCCAATTTTCCTTTTAATTAATTCTATGCCCTAAATTTTCAGTTAACGGGCTCCAAGGCTCCACAATTGAAGAGACTGGCTCAGTGGCTTGCTGATAACCCGACTTTTGATATTGACCCCAAATGGGCGGAACTTGTCAAAGAAAGAGGTAATCTGCCGCACGATTTGAAAAGCAGGTTAGTACAAGCTGAAAGGAAAAGCAACACTGGAACAGGTGGTCTTCTAGCTAACCCTCAAAATGCCCAAACATCTGTCAATCAATCATCTAGTCTGCCCACTTCTCTGGCATCTTCATTGCAGTATCCATCGCTGGCCTCAGCAGGCCTAGGTGCCTTGAATCCTGCCCTCATTTCTGGACTTACAGGTCTCAGCGGCTTTGATCCTAAATCACCAAATCCATTCTACCCCTTTTTACCTAATTTAGGTGCACTGGCAGGAATGAGCGGTCTGAGTAACATCAACCTCACTAATTCCTTATTTGCCAATTTAGCTGGTTTAGGTATTCCGAATTTGGCAGGGATTGACTCCTCTGCCATAAATGAAACAGCCACCAAATCAAGTAGCACTTCGAATAAAGTAAATAGCAAAAGTCGCAAGCCCGACTCTTCCAGTGTTAGTAAAACACCAACGTCTTCAGCCTCCAATCTACCCAGTAGTTTGCCATACTTCTTTCCAAACCCAAGTTTGTTGTATCCTTCGCTCGGTTTGGGTGGTTTGAGTCCCTTTTCACTCCAGCCAGGGGCTGGCTACGAAAGCTTGGCCATGTTAAATGGGGGCTTAGGAGTTTCCAGTGCATCTCAATCAATGCCAACTTCATCAAGGCATAAGAATTCGTCAAGTGGAAGTCGAGCATCTACAGCAACAGCCTCTGCTTCAACGACTACATCATCTGGTGCTGCTGGTCCCAATCAAAAATCCAGTCGATCTGCTCAGCAGTATCAGTTCCCTCAAGAATCTCACCTATTAGAAAGTTTGACAAGAGCTGGCCGCCTCCCTGACCTCACTAAGAAGCCGACTAGTAAGGATGTAGAAAATTTGAAGAACCTAATGATGTCCTCACTCCCATCTTTAGCTGCGTTTGATCCAAAAAAAACAAGAAACGATCAAGAAATGAAAGAAGCGTTTGATAGTCTTAGCAAATCTGAGCTTTTTGCAAGGATCCCACAGAGTCTCGATGATCGTAAGTTGTCCATATCAACTGCAGATCTGGTAGAGAAGCATTCGTCAAAGAGGCACAGGGAGCCTAGTCCGCAAGTAAGTGACAAAAGCAGTTCCAAAAAAATAAAGGACTCCCCCATATCAATTCCAGTTCCACCCTCTAAAAAGTTCATGATGGAAAGTCAAAACCTTCAAATGGACTTGCCTTCCAAAGACAGGTCCCCAAGCTACAGCAGTAGCAGTGCTAATGAGCAACCTTCCTTGACAATTACATCAACTGAAGAGCAATCAAGAAAATCTATGAAAGAGAGCAAACTAGGAGCGCTGATCAGTCAAGTGGCAGTAGTACCGGCAGTAGAGATAACTGTTGCCTCCACATTCCCTTCAAAACGAGGAACCCCGTCACCGGTCCCCATTTCGGTTCCTGCTTCGTCTTTATCGCCAAAGCATCCTTCATCTCCACTGCAAATTCCTTTAGTTTCTGCAGTCTCTATCTCCGAACCCTCTGCTCAATCACCCGCTCCCTCCCCTCCTCCCGTCTTAGTGCCTAACGAGCCACCGAAAGCCGCAACTCCTGCCTCAGAGCCAGTTGTGTTATCAACCTCTATCCTCGAAGGAACATCGGAGAGTTTGCCCATTGTAGAAGTTGAACAAGCTTCAGAATTAGAATCAAAAGTCGAAATTATGATCAACAAACCACAAGACAACAGCAATGAGGACCAACTCTCAGCGCCAAACAAGGCAGACACCTCCACTGAGACACTAAATAAAGAAGAGGCAGTACCTGAGGAAGAAACAATGCCAGCTAAGAAACGTAGACCTAGATCAAAAAAGCCAGTTCCCATCCTTAATGATCCTGAATTAGCCGTAGAAAGGAAAAATTTGAGATCATCAGCCAGTAGATCAGCAGCAGCTGCAGCTGCTCGAGCGGCAAGAGCAGCAGCATTACAGCAGCAAGCAGAACAGGAAAATGCATCAGCTCAAGAAGATGAGGTGTAAAATGCCAAGTAGATAATACTCAGTGATCATTTTTGAACTTTGTGTCGGTTTCTTGTACATACCTTATTCGTTGGTTGATTTTGTCAGGCCTAACTGTCTCCATGCCCTCTAACTTTATCTTACCTCTAAGTTTTAGCTCCCTGAGTTTTGATCAAATTGTCACTTGATCCTTCCACCCTCAGTTTAACAAAATAGTAACTTGCACACTAATCTGTTTTCAATTCAATGATGGTGATCATGAACAATTCGTGTGTTCATCATGATGATGACAATTCATGATGTGTTCATTATCATTTTGTCAGAGCGGAATCAAAACATTTTATTTTGGAATACCTCAAATTCTTAAAAGCTGTCTCATAGCTTATCTCTATAATTATATTGGGTGGACAGCCATCACTGAAGCTGTGGAGCAATGAAAGCAAGTTCTTCAACTCAATTTAAGCAGATGACTTACTCCTTCTATCATTGTTATTAAGACAACCTTCTTTTGTTCAGATGAGTGCGTTTACTTACCTTACATTTTACGCTTTTCAGTCAAGTATCATGTTTTAAAAAAAAAAATTGCCTCCATTCACAAAATGTGGTAGGTTTCCATTTGTACAATGTCAGCATGTATCATGAATTCCTCCAGAGCCTAAAAAGGTTCATTAAGAAAACATGAATGAATTGAATTCAGTTTGATTAAAGGGAGTAACCAAAATGGCCCGTTTTGCATGTACCCCTTCTACAACTTTTTCTCTTTTATCAAATAATGCTACACATTTAATTTTTTTTAATAGAAGCAGTGGATACCTCTGTTATATTTTTTTCAAGTCGACACTTTTATTTCTACAGAATGAACTATATGTCCCAGGTATTCTTCAGGATTAACACTTCTTATTTTTAAATATTATTCCGGCACATGAAACTTTCCAACACCACCCAAAGAGAGAAGAAGAATAAGTAATTGACACTTGAACTGTCACTGAATTAAGCTCTAGTTGCAGACTAATCGTCCTAATCGATAATAAATTTTCTTTAGTTTTCATTCATAGGAATTCTTTGGGTCAGCCAGCTCACTGGCTAGATTCTGGGAGACTTCTTGAACTATCATGAGCGTCTGTAGATGAGCTACACCGCAAATAATGAGGAAACCCATAAAGAAATGAAAAAGGCATATTTTCGTGCAATTTTAGAATGGAGAAAAAAGTATAAACTCAAGATCAAACATTTACAAAAAAATTATTTATTTATTTATTCCCCTAGCTGTCATAGTCTACATAACTTAATGCATCGCTTGATGCCTCCAAGTCTGCAATGAATCGTTTTCATCGTCGGTTTCGTATTGGTTGAGTCACTGGCAAAAGAGGGGGTTTCATTGGGCTCCGCCTCGGTTTTTTCTGCAACATCCTTAGATATTGTGTGGAACTCATCCTTGGTCTCCGCTTGCTCTGTGATTTAAATTCTTCTCCCGCAAATTTGTTCGGCGTTGAAAAATTTGTGAGTTTTCCTGACGGAGAGATCCTCTTCATTTTTATGCAGATTCCAACCAAGGTTGTCATTTTCCCCCATTCTTTAGTCCGTTTTCATTCAATGCTTAATAAGTCTGTAGGGTGATGGTTTGACTCCAATCCCACAGTCAGGTGGATTGCTCTCAAGTTTCACTGGCCATGTACGAATATTATTCATCGATCATAACTTCACTTCTTAAAAATACAAGGAAGCTATCTTGGTTTAAATAATACATTCACGAAACATGATAAAAAAGGATGAGGACTAATGAGAAAGTGAACAATGAAGTCTAATTCCCGAACGACTCAACGGGTACCTACATGAGTATAAGCATAAGTCCTACAGGAGTTGGTGGTAAATAGTTATTGTTTGCAATGCTACACTGCGCATGCCGCAGCAGAAATGCACTGATTTTCCTTATTGGTTCGCTTAGCCACAGTGGTCTTGAATGGGAATTGCGAAGATGAGATAGATAAATCTGTTTAAAGTGCATAACTGAGTTCTGAAAATGTGTTTAGATGGCAAGACAGAAAACAAGGAAAGAAAAGGAATAATCATGTGCACTTGAATGACTGGGACGTATGCAAACTCTTCGAGTTTGCAGATGAGCCAGACTCTTATTTTGAGTTTGCAAAATCGGGAAGTTGAGTGCAGCTCATATGTGGGGGCCTTCAGTATGTGACTTTGATTTGTGATTATTTTAAAATTCTTGTCATTAAAGTTGTTCACTTTCAGTTGTTAAGTATTTGGATTGTCTTTTAAAATATCATGTATAGTATTATACTACGTCCATCTGAACAAAGGAAAGTTTCCATGATTTTATACGTATTTATTCATCAGTCAAAATAAGATTTTACTAAAAAATTTTTTACAATAAAATGTAAAAGCCGAATGCATTATGACTGCATTTGTATTTTGTTTTATTATGCAACTTACATTTACTCTTGAATTTTAGTATCTTTTCCCGTTTTTCCCATTCTTCGCGTGCCACTTCTCGAAAGGATGGGCGTTTTAATCCTCTTTTTTATAGCCTCAAGCGTATTGAAGTATAAAAGAAAATCAAAGCTACATTTGGCCCACAAATTAAAAATAAATGAAGAAAAATTAATAACTAGGTATCATAAAAGATATAAATCATAATTGAATGCAAGCGATACTGTTGAAGGCATTCTTCAAAACCTTTATTTTTTTATTATGTAAACAACAAGTACTTGATTTTATCTCTTTGTATAATTGTACATTCAAAGCTAAAAATAGAACAGGTTTTACATTTTCTGATAGTATTGATTACTAGGCTGAAGACTTTATGGACTCATTTTTATATTTATTTTCAAATTAAAGTATTATGTTTTTCTTTCATAATTTATTGTTAACTGTGATAGCATTTTCTTTTTTCTTTTTTTTTTTCTCTCTCTTTATTTTTCTTGATCCTGTCTTTATTTATTGCTCGAAAATGAATGAATGTGATTGTATGTACGCTTATGTTTTTTTCCTTCTTTCTTTTGATTTTAATGCATAAATAGTTGAATTCATTCTTTTCAGAGTTGAAGCAAAATTTAAAACTAAGCAGTTTTATCTTACAAAAACTTTTTTGGGGCATTGAAGATCGATAATTATTGAATATGAATGAATGAAATAGACTGCTCTTCCTAACAACCTTTCTTCATTTTTTCCTTGATATTTTAGATTACTTAATACCCAGTGTTCAAAACTCACAGGCGCCAAATGCGTCTAAATAATCGGCCATGGCGCCTAAAAAATGAAGTCTCTGCGCCAACGTGGCCCCTAAAGGGAAGGGCCCCCTTTCACAGGAAGTCACATAAAGAAAGAAAAACAAATCTATTTGAATAAAAAAAACTCAGAATTTTCAGCTCTACAAGTGAATGCTTGCTTTTTCTTTTCTTCACGATTTCATTCTTAGTGCTTTTGTCTTCCCCAAGTTACAGTTACTACTAGTTCTGTTACAAAAACATTTTGCGTCTAGCTTTTCACTAAATGCGCCGTAATATATAGGCAAAAAGTCAATTTGGCCCCTAAAAAACCTTCAATGGCGCCTAAAAATTGAGCTTGATGCGCCACATGGCTTCTAAAATTCAAAGGTGAGTTTCGAACACTGTTTATACCCCTTTTCATTGAATATTTTAGGAGAATGATTAATCTCTCTTTTTCCTTATTGTAAACACTTCTTGTTTAAAAGTAGCGTAAAAAGTTTTACGTCAGTATTGATTCAATCTTTCTTTTTTATGGTTCAACCATTAAGCACATGTTTCATTTATTTTAGTCTGTTCTTTGACACATTTTGTTCCAAAACTTTTACTCTGAATCACTGATTTTCCCCTGGAATGGTCTTGATTCCTTAATGGTTTTAATTTACTCAAAATCAGTATGGGCCACATGCCACAACTTTGTAAAAGCGAAGTTTAGCGGAAATTTTGAGCCATGTTCAACAGTTCATCTAAATTTTCGACGATAACAACCTCAAAGTAATTTTTATGTATATTTTTCAATCTGTTGGTTTGTTCTTTAGACCCTCCAATTGCCAATTCAGATATTTTATGAAACTACTCGAAAATTCTTTAAAACTTTTGCCCGCAGGTGAAAGCTCTTTAATTTTTTACAAAAGGGTTTTCTATTTCCTATTTTCTATGTAAATAAATTATCCTCTCCCCGGCAAAAAAAGAAAAAAAGACAATATTTTTTTGTGTAGAAAACTTTTCTCCCCCTAGTTTGTGTAAGCTAATGGTAATTGACTTATGCCCCACACTGATTTTTTTGCAACTACAATCGCTTTTTGATACGTTCTGCTTTATCTCAGTCCTCAACTTCTCTTTGTGATTAGGGCTGAAACGTACAGAAACGCTCGAAAGTCACTGAAAACAAGTGTGGCAACGTAAATGTCTGCTTTGGTTAGGATCAACCCTTTAATTCCCTGGGTGAGCTTGTATGGGACAAATAATTTGTTCAAGAATAAACTTTTATACTTTTTGGTGGTTTCTGATGAACTGAGTTGCTCATATGTAACTGTTTTTAAAATGTCTAAGGATGTATTGTCAGGTACTCAAAGTTAATCATAAAAGCTTCCTCATTTCTGGGAAGCTCAGTTTTGTCCTTACAAAGTAGTACTGTATAGATTTTGTTTAAAAGAGAATCATCTATCGTATCGCTTGAAATTGTTTCCTGTTGTTGCTGTTGTTTTAATGGAAAGAATTTTGATCAAATCTGGTTTTTCGTTCTGTCTTAGGTTGACTGGTGTGTGCAATCTCTTGTATCTTCGTTAATTGTACATTTAATTTTCACCTCGTCCCATTCGAGTTATAATCATTTTGATCACTGTAAGAAAAAGATTTCCCTGTTTCTACTTTTTTCCCTCTCTCCCTCTCTTTCCTCAACAAACAATCATGCTGTGCCAACAGTCAAACTGGATAAGTTATCAGACATCAGTTTCTTGTTTTGTAAGTTCATTTTTTTTCCATTGCTTGCCATCATCTGTTCAAAGAATTTATTTGCTTAAGAAGGTGGCTAGCTCTCGAAAAGATTTGAAATTTTACCATCAAACCTTGAATTTTTGCTTTCCGTCTAAACTTTTGAATGGTTCTAATTGCTTCTCAACGCGGTATATAAAAAGCTCAAACTTCTCGCAACATATGTCTGCTGGAAAGCATTTTCATGATCAACATCCTTTTACAGTCAAACATTTTTTTTGCTTCAAAACTGTGAAAATTTCAAAATTTTAGGAACTTGTCATCCGTTTTAAGAAAAACATCAACTTAATAGCTGCATTTTTTTATGGACATATAAATCCCGGTCGTTCTGTAACTCCATAACTCCCAAGCTTTAAGGGGTAAAAAGAGAGGAAGAAGTAAATTTTCTCTTTGTCTTTATTTAGATTATTAATTTCCTTCCTGTACAAAGCCGATCCCTTTCCCTTTTTTCTTCCTATTACTTAGAAAGTTTTCTTGTATTACTTTTTTGTAAATAATTTGTAAATTTTTATCAGTAATTACAAAAATAAATGTATTAACTACTGTGCAAATCCTGTAGTTTTCTTTTTCTTGCAACCGTAATTAGGAAATTTTTTTTTTTCAAGAAGATCCCATTTGAAATCCATGAAATGCTTGTCACTATTGGCCTTCCGCCTAAAATTTTAGGAGCCACCTCGGCTGGAAAGCCCAATTTTTAGGAGCCATCTACTATTTTTTAGGAGCCAAATTAAATTGTTGCATACAGGCCATGGCGATGCTGCAAACGGTGCGTATAGGGAGCGCTTTATCGCTGCCGCTGCTTCCCAATTGCGAGTTCAATCTGTCAAAATTTTTTAGGCGCCATGATAGCCCAGACCCCCCCCCCAATTTTTAGGCGCCAAGGCCCGTTTTTTAGGCGCATGGCGCCCGGGAAGGCAGAACACTGTAGAGTTATTTTAGTTGCGGACGTTACATTCAATGCCTTAATCTGCCCATAAGTTGGTCTGCTCAGCCCACAAAATTCAAAATTTTTCGAAGACTGAGTATGTACCTTGCTTTCTATCATGCTGCAAATTTGTGTTGAATAAGATAATGTATAATGCAAGATACACATCAAGGAAGGCCGTTGCGGACGTTACAAAAAAACCTCTCATTTTTGAGGACCTTACTTTGACTTCAATTTTTATAGAAACTATTTACTTCATCTAAATTCTGGTTAGCCCTGGTAACGTCTCATTGAGTGTTCTTTTCAATGAAGTATCCATCTCAAATAAAGTTTATATGATTTTGTTGAGATATTCCCTCTTTTATGGCATTGCGGACGTTACAAGGTTTTGTTGTGGACGTTACAGCCGTAGAACTTTGTACCTAAAATAGGCTGTAACTCTCGCAGTTTATGAAGTTATTGAATTAAAAGGTATCAGCATGAATTAGAAAAGTCAATTGTCACAACAGTCTATGAATTTCACCGTAAATTCAATACGAATAGCTGTGAGAGACTTTCCGAAGTAAATATCTGAGGGGACGGTAGAGCCAAGTTTCTACCTACCTATCTTTAAAATACAACCTAAAAATAAATTTAAGCACAATTTATTTGTGAAAATGAACAGTACGGCAAAGTTAAGAGATGTTACGTTTAATAGTATAAAAATGAGCCTTTTAAGAAAAATTCAGGGTGTCCTACATCATCCGTATAGTGCTATTCAGGGTTATCCAAAAAACACTGACCACCCCTGTAACTTTTTTCCAAATTGAGATAGAAGTTTGAAACTTTGGGAATGTTCCTTGGTCTAAAGTAGCAACTTTTTGGTCCCCCCAAAATTTTGGGGGGCAGCCCCCCTTAAGGGGGGCGGGGGCTAACTTTTTTTTTCAAATGGCAACCCCCCCTTCGTGATACCTCATTCAAAAGATAATAAAGAAAGAAAATTTTCGGCGCAAACCGCAAGTCAAAATGTTCATTTTTGACAAAATGGCGGCCGGTCAAAGTTCAAAATGGCGGAAATTTGGCAGCTCCGTTGTTTATTGACGGATTGGTGTGAAACTCGGAAGCCTACAGTTTTTCGAGAACAGAAAAACGATTCTGAAAAATCAATCCAGAAAAATCAGTCCTTCTTAAAATGGCGGCCTAGAGCAGGAAGTGGATATTTAGGCTGCATATCGTTGGATTTGCATGAAACTTGGTATCTGGGGGTATTTCGGCACGAGAAGAACGAATCTTTCGTTGGATATCTGAAATTTTGACAAATTCCAAAATGGCGGCGAAAAAATGGCGGGAAATCAGTTTTACGGCTGTTTACCGATGGATTAGCATAAAATTATTTGATATTTCAAGAATCTAATGAAAGATTCCTTTTTATCCAGCCAAAAACCGCCAGGATATCGAATTTCATGCAAATCTATCGGTAAACAGCCGTAAAACTGATTTCCTGCCATTTTCCGCCGCCATTTTGGATTATATCAAAATTTCAGATATCCAATGAAAGATTCGTTCTTCTCGTGCCGAAATATCCCCAGATACCAAGTTACATGCAAATCCAACGATATGCAGCCTAAATATCCACTTCCCGCTCTAGGCCGCCATTTTGAGAAGGACTGACTTTTCAGGAAAACCAATGCCAGAATCGTTTCTCTCATCTCGAAAAACCCTAGGATTCCGAGTTTCACACCAATCCGTCAATAAACAACGGAGATGCCAAATTTCCGCCATTTTGAACTTTGACCGGCCGCCATTTTGTCAAAAATGAACATTTTGACCTGCGGTTTGCGCCAAAAATTTTCTTTTTTTATTATCTTTCGAATAAGGTATCACAAAGGGGGGGGTTGCCATTTGAAAAAAAAAGTCAGCCCCCGCCCCCCTCTAGGGGGGCCGCCCCCCCCCCCCGAATTTTGGGGGAACCAAAAAGTTGCTACTTTAGACCGAGGAACATTCCCAAGTTTCAAACTTCTATCTCAATTTGGAAAAAAGTTACAGGGGTGGTCAGTGACTTTTGGAT